CTTACATCCCTTTCTTTCTCCAGAGACACCCTTTGTCATTTACTCTCTTGCCACCTTGTGACGGAGTCTTTGCTAAACACAATGGTTTGTGGGCTAAAAGAGCAGATTCTGGAGTCAAAACCGCCTGTGCTCCCACCGTGGTTCTCTCCTTTCCTGCCTAGAAACCTTGGGGTCCTTGCTCACCCTCTCTGTGCCCAGCTTTCTCATGGCTGAAACAGGACATTAGTAACAGTCCCTGGTTCATGGGATAGTGGATCTGAGTGAGGTGCTCAAAGTTCAGTATCACAATCCCCGGCTGAATTTAAACGGTGAGCTCTCCTTATTAATGAAGCATTGGCTAAATCGCCACCAGCAAAACTAACACGGCGCCCGACTCACTGTGTATCGGAGGGACTAGAGAAGGCCTTGTTTCTCTTGGATTTAATTTATGGGGAAATAATGCTAAGAATCGTAGATGTTTCATCTGCAGGGAGTTTCTAGGGTGTCCCAGGCATCGAATGAGTGTCCAGGCGGATGCAGATGGCTCGCTGCCCTTCCCGTCACCAAGTTGTCTGTCCTTGGCCAGCGGCAGAATGATTCTGGCCCTGCGCACAAACACCGGGCCAGAAGGGAGTTGTGTGCGGTTTGCCGAGTGGGACCCTTCCCAGGCCTTTGCTGTGCCTCCTCTCCACGTCCCCGCCGCCCGCCCCCTCCGCCTTGCCGAGGTCTCTGCTCGGAACACTGCCCCCATCAAAACCTCTCGCAAAGGAAGTATCATGTGGCTACTCTATTTCTTCCCCGGGTTGTCCTCCTTCCTCCGTCTTTCTTCCCCTTTTTGGAGAATGTGGGTGGGAAAAGGGAGGTGGTGAGGGGATTTTTCTTATGCTCTTGGAAACTTGTTTCCTTTTAAATACAATGAGCTTTAAAAAAAACTATGGAAAATAAACATTCACAAGCCAACAGCTTGCACCATGCCCTCTGCTTTGATCGTCCCAAGTCTCTCTGTGCAGTGACATAACAGGACAGGCATCCCAGGACACTGCCGGGGAGAAGCCTCTCCTTAAGGACAGTGCGATCTCCCTTCAGCCTTGGCCCCTGCTGTGCGGAGTCCAGGCTCGGCCACCCTGTGAAGGAAGATTCGCAAGAGACCATTTCTCTGATCTGAAAGCAAAAGCCGCTGCATCCAGGGGAGGACTTCGTGGACTTGGGTGGTTCACAGTTCCCAGACAGCCGAGGGTGTTAAATGCCTACAGCGGGCACTTTTAGGAAGCCTTTGGTCCATCCATAACTATTCTCTCGTGGCCCTCACGGGGCATGGGCACGCACTTCTGCCGCCTTCCCCTAAGACTAACTACAAATTCTTAAAAGTTGTGGAATCTGTGAGGAGGCAGCTAAAATGCCGAACACAGACATTTTTCAAAGAAGGATTTAAAATGAAGAAAGGTGTCCATCTTGTACACATTTAGGTCCCATGACTTAGAGAGCAGGGGCCCACGTCCCTTGTGGCTCAGAGCTCTCTCCACTGTACGCTCTCTGTCTCCTGTTTAGGGGACGTGTTGTTTATTGCTTCCAGTGGGGAGCTGGCAACTTTGTGGGGTGATAGACCCCCCTGAGGAAATGAGGGTTGCTGGCCACTGTGACGGGAACCATCTCGGGACATCTGGGCTCCTGTCCCCACTCCCTCTTTAATTTTAGGGAGGACGAGAGTTGGAAGGGGAGCAGGCGTGAGAGGAGGAAGCCGCAGGATTGAACCCCCAGACCTGATCTGACCCCTGCGAAGGGACAGAGGGAAGGAGCAGGAGAGAGGAGACAGACCCCAAACCATGAGCAGCTTGCACAGTCTTAGACATGATATGGCATCAGTGGCCACCAGTCTCCGTGCCACTGAGTCTCGACGCAGCATGAGACCCTCTTTCTCTGCTTCCTGGTCCACAGTGTGTTTCTCCACCTGCCCCAGCAATTAGAATCCTGCCCGTCTCTCCAGATTCACCTCCAGGGTCATTGGCGATGACCTTTTCCACCACCTCCTCCCAACGACCCCCCCACCCCCCCGAATCCAACCTCCACCCTCAGCTGAGCCATAGGCACCCACCTCATCTGGAACGCTGGCCCGTGGCCTCACACTGACTCCCTCCGCTCCCTCCCCGACCCAGCAACCAGACAGACACAGAAATCAAGCCCCTGATCCTTTGCGAATATTTCTCTAACCAGCCTGGTCATCTTTCAGTTCCTGTAACTCCCTGTACACTTCTCTCTCTCTCTCTCTCTCTCTCTTTCTCTCTCACACACACACATTTCTCTTCCTCTGTTTGGAACATCTCTCCCTGCTTCTTAATCTGGTCCCTCCTCACCCCCAGGTCGCAACTCCCACGCCCTGTTGCTACCAGGGGACTCTCCCTAAACCCTTACCCATTGCCACCTCCGAAACACACTCACAGTTTCTCACATCTTCTCGTCTTTTCCTTCGTGGCTCTTAAGTAAAATCCCTGCCCAGTAGACCCTTGAAAACACAGGTTTTAGCTACAGGTGTTCGCTGACGTGTAGGGTTTTTTTTCAATACATAATGAAAATGTATTTTTCTCTTCCTTATGATTTTCTCAGCTTGCTTCATTGTCAGAACACAATCTACAATGCATATGCTATAAAGAAGTGTGTTAATCGACTGTTGATGTTGTCAGGAAGGCTTCTTCTCCCTGACAGTGGGCTGTTCTAGTTAAGTGTGGGGGCAGACAAAACCTACATGTGGGGTTTTGACTGTGTGGGGGTCCGCATCCAGACCCATCCGTTGTTCAGGGGTGAACTGCATTGATTTTTGACTCGTCAACTGTATTTACTTTTGAGCGGAGTTTGTGTTCTCCATGAGACCATGCACTGCCCTGAGATCAGCTGTTCTGTTCACCACCTTATAGAGCTGATGTTCAGTGCAGTCTTGATGGGCGAATGAATGAACGAATCAGTGAACGGCACCCAGAATTCTCCGGTTACTGCTTATGATGCCCAGAGCGTGTCGCTGACTGAACGTAGATTAGCTCACTGCATCCGGCAGAGAGGCAATCGTCACCGCGAGCGCGGAAAACGCCTGTTTCCCTAAGCGCCTCGCCCTCTTCCTTCCAAACGCCTATGCATTTTCCTTTCCCCACTCCCAGCTGCTGTGGGAAGGTGGGCATTAGCGGGGGGTGCCCTCTTTTGGAAACTGGTTACGAAGGCTTTTTCCAGTGTACCCAGACCCTAACTACCTGTGTGTCCACAGGGAAGAAGGATATAAATGTATGTCCTTTTTCACCTAACTATTCACACAAGTGTTTCCTAATTAACACCCTAGTAAAAAATGCCTCGCAAGTGGCCACAGTGACAACTGCAACTGCTCTTAGGTTCCTTTGTCGAGGTGCATCAGTTGCGTCCCCGCATCATCTATACAGAGGTTTGCATGGTGCCAGGGACAGAGGTGCCCAGTGAACATTTGCCGCTGCTGTTCCTTGTTCATCCCACACTCCTGGCCTGACCATGCCCCGGCTGGGTCCTTTCTCCAACATGCCTGTGGGATGATCACCTTCAAGTCCTGCGGGGATGGGAGGAGGAGCTAGCCTTCGTGGGTGGTCAGGGGACAGGGTACTGCAGGAGGTGGCTCCAGCTGAGACCTGGAGGAGGAGGAGCCAGTCATGCCAAGATCTGAAGGCAAAGTGTTCCGGGAAGGAGTAGCAAGAACAAAGGTCCTGGGGTGGAAGCAAGCCTAGCATGTCTGAGCAAAGGCAGAAAACCACGTGGCTGGAGGAAAATGAACAGGAGGAGTGGGCCAGGGGCCGATCAGGCGGCGAGACCAGGTGGGGAGTTTAGGTTTCTTCTAAGTGCAGGTCTAAGCAATTGAAGGTTTTTAAACAAGAGATCAACATGATCAACTATATATGCATAAAACAGCATCCCGCTGGTGTCTAGAGAATGAATAATAAGGAGAAGAATGCAGTAACGGATGTGAGGAGAGCAGAGTCCCAGTGACCTTGGACAAGTCATTTGACCTCTCTGACCCTCAGTTTCCTCATCTGTAAAATGGGGATAAGAAAACCTAATTCTTCTGCAATAAACATGCATTGATTAAATAGGGGGGGATTATGTTAAACCTGCAAAAACAAATTGCCTTCATTTAATTGTGGGGGGAAGTTCCAACGAGGAGGGAGTCGGCCATCTCCTCCAGTGACTTTTTGGAGGGGCATGTGGTTCATGGAAAGAGCAAATGTCTGAGAATTAGGGAAACAGGCTGGGCCTTGGTCCTGGCTGTGCCACCGCAGACAAGTCATTCACCCCTGTGTCTTTGTTTTGTCATTCGTGAATTAATGAGCATATTTTCAGCCTCTCCTGTGCCCCTGGATCCACTTTGGGCTCAGGAGATAAGGCAGCACGTGAGCGAGATGTGTCCCAGGAGACATGGAACTTCCAACCCGGTGCCGGGGAACAATAACAAGAACCAGACAAAGAGCCATATAGTAATTATGACGGTAATAGCCAAGCTTGGCTGCGCCGTTACCAAGTGCCGATAACTGGATGCTTGCTGTTCATTGGGCTTTGTATATGTATGAACTCATTTAATCCTCTCGATGAGAAAAGCTATTATTACTACTCCCATTTTGCAGACCAGGAAACTGAGGCCCAAAGAGAGTAGCCAGTTTGCCCGAGCACACACAGCTGGGAAGTCGCAGAACCAGAGTTTTAACCCAGCTGTGGGCAACACCGCACTCGGCTATGTAACTATACGGGTTATCGTTGCCCGAAATCAAGTCAGAGCCATGAGGGCTCATTAGAGAGATCAGACCTGGTCTCAGGGTGCAGGTAAGACTTCCCCGAGGTTGTGACATTTCAACTGAGACCCTAAAGATGGATAGGAATGGATCAGGCAAAGAGCAAGGACAAGATAAAGGGGACAAGGACAGAAATAGAGTTGTGATGTGCTCTCAGGCACATCAGAGGGTGTGGCACTGGCGCCACGGTCACTGGCAACGGGAATAACAGTGAACTCTTTCTCCCCTCAGGCTCCGCTGGCCCGGGCGCTCTATGACAACCACCCCGACTGCTCCGATGAGCTGGCCTTCTGCCGAGGGGACATCCTGACCATTCTGGATCGGAACGTGCCGGAAAGCGAGGGCTGGTGGAGGTGTTCGCTCCACGGGAGGCAAGGCCTGGCCCCGGCCAACCGCCTGCAAGTCCTCAAGGAGGCCCCCGCAGACAGGCCCTGGCCCCCTTCCCTGACGGGCCTGGAGGAGGGTCTCGCCAACCCCAAGGAGACCTGCCGGGTGCCCACCCTGCTCAGCCCCCCGCCTCCAAGCCCCATATATGAGTACATGAAGAGCTGCGTGGAGGGAACTTCGTCACCCAAGGTCCAAGTCTACGAACTGCCTGACCCACCCACCAGCGCCAGGATTGTCTGTGAGACGATGCTAAGCTTTTCGAAACAGGTAAGCATATTTCTGGAAAAAAAAAAAAAAGAGACACAGGTCTAGTGATGGGAGTGTGGTGCCCCTTCCTGCACTGGTGTCCGTCAGAGCAAAAACACCTGGTGGGAACCAGGCCGTCGGCAGGATGGGGTGGGCTTGTGTCTGGCTGCCACTTCAGTTGCCGTGGATAGTCAGTCTCTTCAGCCCTGCGACTCCCCTGCTCTCCGGGTACCCCCACTCTGTGCTGGGAAGTGTCGTAGACATTCATGGGGACTTTTTTGACCCCTGGTAGGATCACTAGAACTGCAAGTGATAAATGGAAGGGTTGGATTTCCATGGGGTCAAAGGCAAGGAATTACTCATTAGATGTCAAGTGCGTGCACCCTTCACCCCAGACACATTGCTTCCAGAATTGCTACGGAAGCACACAAGAAGGCAGAGATATACCTGGGTGGGGAGGCCATGGCCGCTGTCTCGTTATTTGTCATAAGGAAAGAATCAAAGATGCTTCTATGTTTGTTCACAAGGGGATGGCTACAGAAATGTTGGGATGACCCTACAACAAACCGTCATGCCATTGTGAAGCAAAGATGGAGTAGTTCTATGAGGTATTTTTATGAGGGAATGAAGAGCTATTAAAATAAAACCCCAGCAAACAAACAAAAACTGAAAACAGCATTCTGAGCAAGTGCCCGCTCCCACTTTGAAAAGAACACACGCCAGCCATGGTTAGCCGGAGGAAGTGGACCTGGCCAAGGAGAAAGTGAAAGACAGCCTTAAGCAAGGACCTTTATTTCATCCGCTGTTATTCCCCCAGCTCCCAGACTGTGGCAGCCACAGGGTGGGTGCCGAGAGAAATTTAATCAACTGAGAGATTGGGAAGTTGATTCTGTGAGAGCTCAGAGTGTGTATTACATCGCAATTTAAAAATAGCGATTTTTAAAAGAATAAAGATGAAAAGAAGCATTCCGTAAATGTGGAATGAAAATAATATTTAAAGAAGGAAAGGAATGAAAACAGAACAGGAGAAGGATGATCCCCATTCTCTTCAAGCCTGGCTTCCACGAAGTGTTAAGAATGCAGAACAGATTTGCAGGGTCTCCAGTCACTGTGGGCATTTCCTGCTGTCATGCACTTGGCTTTCAGCTCAGATGACACCTTTTCTCTGGTGACAGCTCGGGGCAGAGGTCCCGACAAGGCCCGTGTCCAAGAATGTCCACCGCCCTACTGTGTGTTCTGTGGCCCCAGGAATGGCGAGCTTACAATGCAGGCCCTCTCTGCACCAGTTCCAAACACTACCTTCAGGAAGCTGTTGACTCCTTGGAAAGTTCTGCATACTTCAGATTTTCTAACTCCCTGGGTTGCCAGGCAGAGAGCCAGACAGTTGTCACACAGAACAGCTGCCCCTCAGGCACCGGAGGGAAGCTGGCTGTGCCTCCTGCAGCTGGTCCCTGGGGTGGACCCTGAGTCACTTTTCTAGAACAGCTGGCCCACGCCCCGGCCTGGCATGCTCAGCTGCCCTCTGAGCAGCTGACTCGGAACAGCGCCTGGCTGGTGGTTCCCCCAGGAAAAACAAGTGGCCTCATCTGAAGTTAACTGGAGTTTCTTTTCAAAGCAATGAAAGAAAGCAAACAAACAAACAAAAAGCCATTTGCGCCCTTCCTAAAGGACAGCAGGGACTGTCCACAGTTCACCAGGTATCCCTAACAGCCAGCATTGGCTGGATGGATGGAGCAACCAGGTGCAGCAGAAGGCCTCGTAACCATGGACTTCAGCTTGAGCCCTGACACCTGGTGTGAAAGGGAAGATGCGTTTACTGCCCCCACAGAAAGGGTCAGGGCCTTAGCTGTAAGATTCGCCCTTGACCACCAGAGCCCCGGCTTGTGCAAGCAGTCAGAAACCACAGCCACCGATGGGGAATTCAGACATCCAGGACCTTGTGCCACTCCAGCGGGGCCCTGCGGTGGACTCCGTAAACCCCCTGGGGAACTTTTCTGTCTTTTATTCCTGCTGAAGTTTCCTCTGCAGCTGCCCTCTCTACATTTTTGCTCTCCTCACCCTCTGGCTCACCCCTTTTTTTATTGCCTTCTCTGTGCTTGAGGATCTTGGAGAGCCCCCCTGTGTGTGGCTCAGGAACAAGGAGCCCGGTGCGGTTGGCTTCTGGGGCAGCCACAACCATGCTCGGTGATCAGAAACATCACAGCACCCTCCAGGCTTCTCTTTCTTCCCCTGCATCACAAGAGCAGAAGGACCGACCATTTCCAAGGTCTCCTCCAGTTGCACTGTTCGGTGATCCTAAGTAATTTTGCTGCTGCTTCTAGAGCCAGAAGGAAGGGACCTAAGAAATGGAGTAGATGATGGGTTAGGAGTCTTCTGATCTATGGAGCAAGCTGACATGTTCTCCCCGCTTGCTTGGGTTAGCCCAGTGGTTAGCTCTGCGCCTGAGGCTGTCCAAGAAACACACCCTGAGCATAAGTGGTTGCTGCTAGAATGAGGCAAGCCCACTGGCCTGGTGCTGTTCTCTGACGGGTGTCTCCTGAGCTTGGAACACAGCCAGGGAGACCCTGGCTCAACTCTCTAGTTGAAGGTTGGCCAAAAATGAAAAACCAAGATGGTGCAGACATGTCCTTGTTCTCACGTTGTCCTAACAGAGGCGCCTCCATGTCCTCATCAGACATCTCTGTGGCTGACAGGGACCTCTGGGGTCTGTCAGATGAGAACAACGCTTCATTTTACAAGTGAGGACACCGATTCTTAGGGAGGTGAAAAGGGCCATTCAGGGTCCCACGGCTGAAGACCAGACAGTCCAGCGTCCTTGTTGGGTGTGCCTGTTCATCTGTGACGCTGGGCTGCCAGCGCCGAGGGCAGAGACCTCCGTTTACGTGACTCTGTGGTGACACTGTCTACTCTTTGAATTAACTTTTCTTACTGAAGTTTAACCTACAAATCCTAAGGGCACAGCTCAGTTACTAGGATTCAGATCAAGAAACAGAACAAAGCTAATGCTCCAGAAGCTAATGCCTCACGCCTGCTCCCGGTCACTTCCCCTGGCTGACCACTGTTCCGAGTTTGTTTCACTTTTTGTTCCAACTTCCCTAATGCAATAATACGCTGGGCTTTTTTTGTTGTTTTTCTGTGACCACCAAATAAAGAACACATTTGGTTTTGCTTTAAATTCAGAGAAGAGAATGGCTCATGGTTCAAGTGAAAATGAGGGACGTGCTCTCGGACCCTGAACCAGAGTTTCCTCCTGGCCCTGCCTTTCGAAACCAGGTTCCTGCACCGATGGCCATCTTGAACCTACATCTTTCAAGAAACTCTGGGCGTCTGGGGGCGGGGACCCACACACAGGAAAGCCCCTCCTTCTCCCTGTAGGTGTTGCAAGTGTGACCCACAGAGTCAGCCACATAAACGCAGGGGGTCAGCTTCAGAGGGAAGTAGGAGCCCGTGGAACAGCCTTCGGGGCGGCCCTGAGGTGGGACAGTGTGGTGCGCTGGAATACGCGGGTGACACTTCCTTTCCCTCGTTCTTTGTCTCCCAAGGCCATCTTCTCGATTCCCAGACCCACTCAGGACTCGTCGCCTGCCCTGTATGATGTGCCTGTCCAGAACCGCCGCCCCCCAGCCCTGAAGGTGAGCTTTGACCCTGGCCCTGCTCCCCGAGGGGCGGCCCATCCAGAGCGTGGGGGTCCCAGTGTCACGCAGACCACCCACCTGTCTGCTCCTGGCTCCAGAGGGCACGCCCCTGCTCAGAAGCCTGCTTCATGCCCAGGGAACCCAGGCCTGTGCAGGAGAATGTCAGGACTATCTGAAAGCTGAATGTTTTTAAACTTTTCCTAAGGAATACATACTTTATATCTACACACACACACACACACACGTGCACTTTTAAGAATATTTTGAAGGATGTACAGGCTGGGACAAAAGTAGCTTTACAACTGTAAACCTACTGCACCGTTTTCCATACAAACAACTGTGAACCTCCTTCTGCCCCGCCCTGTACGTCATGGTCTTAACATCATCATTGGTTATCTTAACATCGATTACCCCTGGGGACAAAATCGCAGGTGTTCTTTTTTCTCTAGTTTGTATGTAATTGGGGCCTCGGATTTGTACGTCCAGCTTCATGTAATCGGAGGACAGCTTCACTCACATGGCTGTGTTCTCTCCCGCTCCCGCGGTGCGCACAGAACCGCGGGCAGGTTGAACCCCGCTGCCCAGGCGGGTCTGCAGAGACTGTTGTTAGACGTCTGGGTGGCAGCCCTCCATGCTCCAGCTGCCTCTCTCCTCCAAAAAACCTGTCTCCGCGCCCCCTCCCCTCACTTGGGAACAAAGAAGCCATTCGCGTCCTGATCTAAGTGTCTTCTAACTCCCGCACACACAAACACGCACAGCCACCGTGCCTGTGGCTCACTGCCGGGTGCAGACATGTGATCTGGCTCAGTGCCCACGGTCAGTAGGCACTCAGTGGATTTGTGTGGAACGAAAACCCGGGCACTAAGCCCAGGACGGTTTCTGCTGAGAAAGAGAAGGAAGATAGAGGACGGAGCCCGAATCCCACTTATTTTCCCGTGACTCAGGCTCAAGGCTAACTCCCAGAGAGCCCTGAACCACCGTTTCGAACTCGGGCAGCTGCGGTTCATTCTCTCTACCCTTTCTCCCCACTGTGGTTGAAAAGCATCTGTTCATGCACGAAGTCCACAGTCCCAACGGCACCCACCACAGAGCGCCGTGACCGGGAGCCCCGCCCCCAACACCGGCACGGGAGAGTGGGTGATGGGTGGCCTGCGGGAAGGAAGCACCGCCATCACCCTGCTTTTCGGTCTTTCCCCAGGAGTCAGAGAAGCAGCAGTTATATGACATACCCGCCAGCCCCCGGAGGGCAGGATGCGGCCCCCCGGCCAGCTCGTCCAGTGTAAGTATGACCCGGAGCTGAGCCCCACGTGTGAGCGGCTGGACCTCCTCTGGGCCTCTGTTAGTTTGGTCCAGGCATGCAGTCCAAGTGCCTCGGGGTGGACCCTGCTTCACGGGGCCCCTCACTGTGGCTGGGTCCCGGTGTGGCTGGGACCAGTCCCCAGCGGCTCCAGCCTCTGTTTCTGTGGCAGACTCAGGGCCAGCGTGAGGGAGTCCCTGAGAGGGACCCCCCCACCGTGGGGGGGGGGGCAGAGCAAGAGCCCGTCAGACCTCAGGTCAATCCTCCTCATCACCTCCGACCTCAGACGCAAGCCCTACTCATGGAGGCTTTCGCCTGTGTCGGAGGAAATGCCCTCACTTGAAATCGGCGGCATTGCCACCTGTCCTGGGGTTCCGTCGCCTTATCAGGGAAGGCCTTGTCACAGAAGAGCAGGCACTCGGCGCTGTCCTGAGGGCCACACAGGCGTCTGTGAGATGGAAAGCAAGGGGGTGAGAGGGTGTCTAGAGGAGGGGGACCAGTCTGGGTGAAATTAAATATCACGGTAAGAAGTAGCCATTCCGACGGGTTCAGGGACAGGTGAACGGCCTGGGCAGCTGGCCTTACTGATGACAGAGTGAGAAGGAAGGAGGCTCAAAGGGAGGCTGGAACCAGACTGTGAGGGGCCTTGATTGGCAGTGGCACTGGGGGGCGGGGCACCGAAGGAGCTGGAGCAGGCCCTCTGTGTGGGACACGTGGGTCACAGGAGTTGCACACACTTCTTCCTATCGCTGCTGAGCTGGGTGTCTTTGTGTGGTTCTCCGCAGAGGCAGAGTGTCCCCGTGACATCAACAGTCACCCTAAGGAGAGCCTGCTATAAGACACTACCAAACCCGCAGAAATCGGAATGGATTTATGACACCCCGGCGTCTCCCAAAAAAGCCGAAGTAAGAAATGCATCTCTAACAGGCTCTGTGGACGAGGCGGGGCCCCAGACTCTCCCCAGGCAGATGACCACTTTCCACTGTCCTCTGAAGAGCAGAGCAAGGTCCCTCACGCCACACCTGAGTGAAACTGTGCCCACGCAGAAGAAGCTCAGCCTTCCAGAAATCCCTGCTCACTGCCTTCTAGCGCCCGGGGACCCCACCCCCTCGGAGGAGGGAGTTGGGTACAGGGTACCCTCGAGCTTTCTGATTCCCCGAGTGGAACAGCAGAACACCAAGCCCAACATTTATGACGTCCCTAAAGCTAGGCCAAGTGCCCCTCCGGCTGCAAAGGAGCTGGAGAAAGGCGACAGGGCTCCCGAGAATGCGGGGGACTGTGGCCACTCCTGGGCCCCCCGACAGACCACGTGGCTCTGTCCTGAGCTGGACAGGTTGTCTGTGAACAGCGCGGACAGCAGGGTCAGCATCGTCTCTTCATGCTCCTCCACATCCACGGACTCTTCATCCGGCTCCTTCTCCGAGGAGTCGGTGAAAGAGACGTCCCTGGACTTGGACTTGGCCAAAGGGATGGTGACGGCTCTCCAGCACAAGGTGGCCAGCTCCGTCACAGGCCTGCTGCTCTTTGTGAGCAGGACATGGAGGTTCAGAGACTATCTGGAGGCCAACATCAATGCCATCCGTAGGGCCACCAACCACGTCGAAGAATCTTTGAGAGAATTTCTGGACTTTGCCCAGGGTGTCTGTGGGGCCACCTGTCACCTCACTGACAGTCACCTTCAGGCCAAAATCAGGAATCAGCTGCAGACCATTTGTAGCTCCTACCAGGCCCTGCTAGAAACCAAGGAGGGCCTGGATGGCTGCAACTGGTCCCTGGAGGTCCTCGTGACGGAGAAAGCCCAAAACAGCCCGGATGACCTTGAGAGGTTTGTCATGGTGGCACGGATGGTTCCAGAAGACATCAAGAGGTTTGTCTCCATGGTCATTGCCAACGGAAGGCTCCTTTTCAAGCAGAACAGTGAAAAAGAAGACTCGGTGCAGTTGACCCTCAGCGCGGGACCCAAGCTTGCGACGGACCTCCAGCTCCCCCCGAGGGAAGTGGAGTCATATCAAAGGAGCGCTCCTGTCAGCAAGCAAAGGGAAAGTGGCCTCTCCCCCAAACTGCTGCAGAAAAACTGGACCAACACCCGTGAAAAGGTCAGTTTGGTGTCCTGAGCCAACCCTATACAGGGGCTTTCCATCTGTACCTGGAGTAGTCACCAATGAGTTAGTTAGATGCTGAGAATCTCTCAGTGGTTGTACAGGCTTTCGGGGGGGGGGGGCGGTGCTGAATCCACTTTCCGAAAATAAAAGCCATGACAGTAAAATTCCAGATGACATCTTATTAAGAAGTAAGATGAATATCTTAATATCAAGGCAGGTCGGATGTCTTCTGGAAATCTGGGGGTTTGGAGTTTACATCCCCGACACTAAAATGAAAAGGGACTGTAAAAGCCTTTTGAAATCCATTCTTTGAATCTTAATCTCGCCATCAAGTTTTCTTGCATTTTTTTTAAGTTACAAATTTAGTCATCGTCCGTGTGTTTCTTAGAAACAGAAAAGGAAGCGTAAACACTCTCCCAAACTGTGTGTGGCCGTCACGGCCTCTGGACTCCAGTCACCCTCAGAACAACTTTGTGCAGGGAGGGACACTTTAGTCCCAGAGCTGCAAGACTCCCGAGGCCCAGCGGGTCACCGGGGGCTCTGTCCCAGAGATGACCCTGCCCTTTCGGGCCTGGCGTTGGTGTCTCAGTCACTGTCTGCTAAAGAGCCTCGTGCTGTAAGAACTTAAACACTCTCTAGATGAGGTAGAAATTTCAATACCTTTCATTCCCCAGTTAAGTAAATGAACATATATGTACAAAATTCTAAAACAAGAACCCCAAAACCTGTGTGTCATTATCCTAGGCCATATGGGTAGACACAGTTCAGCCCTTGGGTGGCCAGAATGTCCTTTTGTTGAAGAAGGCATCAGTACGCAGAACAAAACTATAAAGAGAAACTATAAAGAGGAGGGCGCCAATGTTAAAGTGGACTTAAATAGATATCTGATAGTAAAAAAAAAAAAAAAAGCCATTCATGGAGGTGATTCAAATGGATTTTCTTTTTCAGAAGTTGCCTAATCTAGAAGAGGAAGTAAAACCCATCTTGCAACAAAGGTCAGATGAAAACAGAGGCTTAGAGACACAGGTAAGCAATATCGTTCACCCTCCAAAACTCCCAATGCGTTTGCTTTGCCCTTAGAGGTGTTTCCTGCTGTGAATCATTCAAGGGCACAGCCATGGCCCAGTGGGGAGGAGATCTGGTGTCTCCTATGGTAGAAGGGACCCTGGAGATGAACAAGCCCAGTGAGCTCCAGGACAGGAACATGGTCCTTCAGCCACCGGCGAAACAATGCCGAGTGCTCTGCAGCCTATCATGGGCAGAGCTGAAATGGCCGTGAACCCCAGGGGCTCCCACCTGCTTTGACATCCTCTTCGAAGGCTTCTGACTACAACAGAAAAGCCATCTTGGTTTGGGGCGTGTGTATCTTTTGACACAGGACATTCTTTTTTTTTTAAATCAAAGATGTTATCATTGTGTTTATTTTTATGGATTGCCTTTTCTTGCTGGCAGCAGTTGTCCACTTACCAATTCAAAATGACAGTAGTTTTTTTTTTATCTTCCAAGTCAGAAAGTTTCCTTTAGATTAACATACATGGATCTGTTTAAAGACATAGATGGAGCAAGTTAAGAGGAAGGCAGGAAGGGCCTGATGTGGGAAGGGTTTCTCTGAATGACTGAGGCCTGGGAGGTGGTGAACCAGTTCAACGCTCTGCACTTTGCCCCTCCCCCACCACCACTTCAGGCCCTGCCCCCACTTCAGACCGGGGGTGGGGGTGGGAGGAGGAGCCACAAAGATGTCCAATCATGTGGATAAGGTCACTTGCCTTCTGGGAGACAAACTAGGCTGAGAACCCAGGCCCTCTGCTGTTCAGCTCTCAGACCTCACTCTTGGCGTCTGCCCGGATTGCTGAAAGTCATGCCTCTTCGTTCAAGCTGAGGTGGGCCTCAGACCAGCGCCCCTCAAACTTGGGAGTGGGTCACAGTCCCCTGCAGGGCCTCTTAACACCCAGAGGTATCCCCTCCCAGAGTTTCTGGTGGGATCAAGAATTTCTTTTCTGAGAAGTTCCCAGGGAAGCTGGAGCTGCTGGCCTAGTGACCACACTCGGGAAACTGCCTCTGCAGAAAGACAGTGCTTCTTGGTGGGGGTGGGGGTGGGGCACCGCAGACCACAGGGGACAGTTGTCCGTGGCGGGGGTGGACATATGGCACCCCCAGCCCCTGCCTGCCTGGAGTGCTTCCTGGTCAGCCACAAATATCTCCTCACATCTCCAGCCCCCGCAGGATGAGAATCTTGACACATGTTTTACTTACCTGCGGTTAAGGCTTTGGAGCTACGAGGCTGACATTGCAGTCTAGATGGTTGCATCTCCGCCAGCCTCTGCTCCATCCTCCTCATGGTCCCTGCACCCAGAGACCCATGGCTTCCAGCACGCCGATCCTTCCCAGCCTGTCTTAGGCCATCTGTGCTGCTGTAACAAAGTCCTGTAGACGGCGTGGCTTATAAACAGCAGAAAGTTATTTCTCATAGTTCTGAAAGCTGGAGGCTAGAGATCAGGGGACCAGCCTGGCTCTGGTGTTGGCTCCCCTCCAGGCTGCAGACTGTCTCCTCTCTGTTTCCTCACGGGGCAGGGAGCAGAGCCGGGAAGCAAGCTCCCCACAGTTCCTATCAGGGCACTAACCCCATCCACGGGGGCCCCGCCCACATGACCTCACCTGACCCTGCTCACATACCAGAGGCCCTGTCTCCGCATGCCTTCCAACTGGAGAGCAGAGTTTCAACACAAGAATGTGGGGAGGATGCAGTCAGACCTCAACACGGTCCGAGCGCTTCTGGGCTGTGCACTTTGAGATTATAGGCTGGTGAGGGAGTATGCGGTTTAATGGAAAGATGAGTCGAGTACTTCCCTGACTTGTCCTGGACCTCTGATCTTTATTTTGCTTGGCGGATGGGTCTAGGTGGCCTCTCTTTTCTTCAGGGAGCTTCCGAGTCTCCTCACCTGTAACCTAACAACAGGGCTTTCGATGGTCCCCTGGCATAGTCACCACTAAGTTCAATGCTGAGCATCTGTCCAGAGCGGGTAGGCTTGGGGGAGGGGGGGGCATGGGTACCGTATCCCAGAAAATAAAATTCATGGCAGTGAAAGTCCAGAGGAAACTTTATTAGCAAGCGAGAGAAATATTTTAATATTAAGACAGTAAGTCGGCATGTTTAGGTCTCTTCTAAAAAATTTTGAGGTTCAGGTTTTACTTCTGATATTAGAGTTACAAAGGATTTTTTAAGTTCTTTAAAATCTCTTCTTTGACTAAACATTTTATTCTGACCAACAGGTGTTCTTGTGCGTTTGAAAGTTATAAATTCAGTCATCGTCAACGTGTTTCTTAGAATGGGTTAAGTTGAGAGAATTGAATAAGATTTTATATATTTGTATAAAATAAGTAAGATTACACATAATGTAATATATTAGATCATACATATTATAGTTTTTATATAGCAGGGCTTTGAAAACATTAACGTTAATTTGTTAGGCAAATGTTACACGGTGGCCCCTTTTCTCATAAGAAGTCCACCAAATAGAGCAAAAGCAGGAAAAGGAAGCCAAGGTCGGCCTCCTGATGGAATCCCTCTCTTACCTACTGTTTTCTTCCTCTTCCCTAGAATACAAGTCAGCCCGTGCCCCGGCCCCTGGGTCAGCTGCACCCCGAGAAGAAGGTCCACCTTTCGGAGCACTGCCGCTTCTATTTCGGGGCGCTCTTCAAAGCCATCAGCGTCTTCCACAGCAGCCTCAGCCTCAGCCAGTCCCCAGAGATCTTCATCTCGCAGAGCAAACTGGTCATCATGATCGGGCAGAAGCTGGTGGACACACTGTGCAGAGAGACCCAGGACAGGGACGTGCGCAACGAGATCCTCTGTGGCAGCAGCCACCTCTGCAGCCTGCTCAAGAACGTGGCCCTGGCCACCAAGCACGCCGTGCTCAAGTTCCCCAGCCCTGAGGCCCTGGGGCACCTCCGGGCCGAGGCTGAGAAGCTGGAGCAACACACACGGCAGTTCAGAGGGATGCTGGAATGAGCCTTCCTCCCTCCCTCCCTCACCATCTGTCTTATGGGAAAGGCCAGCCTGGGGATGCAGCGAAGGGCGGAAACAGCCACCTGCCCAGAGCCCCTGTCCCCAAGTGCCCAGGGGACCCCCGGACACTGACTTACCCACAGAGAGTTGGGGAAGGGTGACTGGCGTTACATAAGGACCCTGCTAAGTAGGTGTCACGTGAGGTCAGTGTAGAGAGTGACATTGTGGAAACCAATTGTTGTATTGGTTCAATCAATACTGGTTTATTTATTGGGCACCTACTGCAGTCAAATTCTTGGTGCTGCGCATGTAGCCGTGAATGAAACAGAAACCTTCCCCTCGGGGAGCTTCCACTGTGCAGGGAGACAGACGGTCGGTGACAGAGAAATGTATGTACAGTCTATCAGCTGCCAGGGAGGAAAAGTGAGGAGGGAGGAGACGTGCTTTCCAATGAGTAACTTCTCTTGTATCTGTCCAATAAGGTGATGGGTAGTTCATGTTTGGCTGAATTCATTCTGTGAGACTGGTACCGATGATGTCTTACACCAAATGTATATTTATATTTTCTATTTTGTCTCCACCATGGTAAAGATGCATATTGTATTTACAACGTAGCCTGTTCTGTTGGGTTCCCTATTAATTTATTTTTGTACATTATAGAGTCTGTGTTGATAAATTCAGGATGCTCAATCAGCAAAGGCTTATACTTCGATGTTTATAATACTATGTAAATATAATCATGAAACATCCTTGAAAAAGCTGTTCATCCATGTTGCCTGGGTTCTGGTACCGAAGTAAAGCCTCCATCTCTTACTTCTGTTATTCACTGGCCTCTCCCCAAAGTGTGCAGAGGGGTGCAGTGGAGGTGAGGCTACCGCGGGCAAGGCAAAGCTGGGGTCCAGGAAGTGCGGTGGGGACAGGATGCCCATCCCCGGGCGCAGATCTAAAAGCCGCTCAGAGCTCCCTCCTGTCAAACCACCTCCTCTTCTCCTAGTAGCTGGTCTTTACTTCATGTTGCTATGGTTACATCATCCCTCCTTCACTTCAGGTGAAGGTCCACATTTCTATATGCATCTCTGCCACAAAACACCTTTGCCTGGAAGCAGCATCTCCAGGCTGGAAGTCACCTGAAATGGAACCAGGTTCGGTTCCTACCTGCTGCTCTGTGCTTAGTAGGTGCTTTTAAATTGCTGGGAGGTTGGTTATTGTTGCTGTTAGTCTCAGGGTTCCTGAAGATGGGGCCCACTTGGTGCGGCTTGGTTCTCTACACCACAACAGGGGGGCCCACCTTCTCTGAACAGCTGTCATCCGTATCAGCCAGGACTCCTGCTACAAGGAGTCCAATCCCTCCAATCCCTCTTAAGCAAGTAAAGGAAAATGATCAACTCAAAGATCTTAAAACCATCCAGGGGCCAGCTGGCTTCCAGACCAGCTGGTTTTGGGTGCTCCCACAGCCTCTCCAAGTCCCAGTCTCTGAGCCCCACTTTCCCTACTAAATGAATGTTCGTGATTGGGAAGTGGCTGCCCCGTGTCATGTTCTTCTTGGTTTATGGTCAGAGGAGAAGCAAGAGGCTTGATTCTGCTTGGAGTGTCTTAGATCGGGTACCTGCCCCTCAAAGCCTCGTGGTGAGCAGGGTGTATAAAGCCTAAGTGGACCAAGACCTGGAATTCACCACTGCACACACACACACACACACACACACACCCCAGACCACACACTAGACCTACATGGGTCCTGAGAGAGGCCAAGAGATGTTTCTGCCAAGAACAGTGATATGTCTGAGCTGTCCCCTCCGCCCCTTCAAATTGAGGTTAGCCCACCATGGTGTCATGAATTCAGAGAGAAGACAGGAGATTCTGGGGTCAGAGACCACGTCAGGGGTCCCCAAGGCCACCCCCAGGTCCAGTGATTCAGGAGGAGGATCCACAGGCCTCAGCCTTGAGTCAGACTCACAGCCGTGACCTGTCACAGTGAAGGGCAAGGACAGAGGAAACCAGGTTCTTGCTGCCGAGAGTCCTCTCCCCATGGCCACATGGGACACCCTTTCCTTCCCCCAGTAACGAGTCGTAACAACACACGTGGAATGTCAGCAGCCAGGAAGCTCATGAGAGCCTCAGCAACCAGGGTTTTTACGGGAGCTGATCATGTCAGCAGCCCCTGCGTGGCACGTACAAAAATTTCAGACTCTCAGAAGGAAAGCAGGAGTCTGGCATGAGTCACATGGTTCATAGAGTTTAGGCACACTGAGCTGTTCTTACCAGCTCTGGGCGGGGAGCAGGGACGGGGGCCCTCCCTAGACCCCAGGTCCCATACGACTACGAAAGCCCAACCTGGGGAGGACATCCCAACTCCCTAAGATCCGTCTAAGGGTATTAGGTAGGTGCTATGCACAGACAAAGGACTTCTGCAGCATCAGAAGAGCTTTCGCTGCATATTTGCATTTCCCCATGCCCCCCAGAGTCCTGTGGGTGCATATGAATCTGTGCACACAAGGGGCATGTGTCAAAACCAAAGCAGCCGGGCACAGGAAACCCCAGTCTTCCACGGCGGGCTCAAAACCTGAGCAAGCGTGGCCTCAGACGGAGGTGGCATCTTCGGTATTTGGGACAGCAAACAAGCCTGCCTTTCTGCTCCAGAAAGACACGTGATCTCCGTCTTCCAAGACTGTTTGCTACAAAAAATCCTTGAGATGAAAGACCAGAAGCAAATGACGGTGGTGCCTCTGCTCGGAAGATGTGTGGAAATGCCAGAGACCCCTGGAGAACTGTGTCCCAGCCAGAGCCCCCAGTGAAGTCAGGAAAGTCGTTGGGAGGCGGTGTTGCTGTGGCGACGCCCCAGCAACTGTTTACTCCAGGGGGCAGAATGACCCCTACACAACAGTAACATCAACAGCAGGTGTACGTCAAGGGACTCCTGTGTCCCAGACGCTGTGTTAGTGCTTCAGATGTTTTATCTCAATCAGTCCCTTGTAAGGGATGTAGAGCCTCTGACAGTTAATGAGCAGGTCCCTATGGGCTTCAGAATACCATATGTTTGTATGTACATAGATGTGAATATCTGTGGAGATACATCTACACCCATGTATACATATATATATTTTTTTGAGATAAGTCCCAACTGAGGACCTTTGTTAACAAAATATGCCATTTCCCCTCTCCTTCCCTTCCCCTCTCTCTAAAAATAAATAAATAAAATATTTTTAAAAAAAACTATTGGGTTTTAAACTATGAGAACTGCTGCTGTTAGCAAAATGTGTTTCCTTCCCCTTTTTTTTTTTGAAAGATGGTGGTTATGGGATGAGTTGCCACTGATTAATTCAACAGGATAATTATTTCTGAAAAAATGTAAAAGTAGAAGAAGACCACATCTCTGAGCTTTCAGCATCATTTTGTTGAGTGTTTCCCCTTACGGCCCAGAATGCTGTGCGGTTTCCTCTGGGGGACGGGGAGGAAGAGGAAATGGTGGGTGTCAGGGGTGGTGGTGGTCGCAGTGGTAGCAACTTGACCTCAATCAAGTTAACTTTTATCAGGAGGATGGAAGTGGTGAGGAGCCTCGTTAAGAGATCTTCCAATGTGACAAGCCCTGGGGGGCCCTGTTTCTGGTTTGGTGGTAACTTCTTTTTTCTTTTTTTAATAAAACATCTTTTAAAAATGTATGTCCTCCCCAGGTCTCCAAAAGCTGCCTGTTTGCAAAGGTTCCCTATGTGTGCAAGCATTTACTATTGCTTTCTTTTTTTTTTTTTTTTTTTTGCATCCAGGCAAGAGTGTTTCTGGGTTGGGAAGAGCAAGGCAAGGAAGGGCCCAGGAGCAGAGACGGTGAGGAGAAGGACCGGCGGAGTCAGGGAGAGGAGAGCAGCCAACCTGAGCTGGGCGGACTGTAAGTCCTGTGCATTCCTGGAATATTCCTAATAGTTCTCTAAAACTGCAACGTCAAAGTGAATTTTGCCTTGAATTACCTCAGTAATCAGCTCCATTTTCCACTTCATTTCACTTTACCCCTGGCTGGGACATCTTAAGAGTAAGCTTCAATGATGGTTGGGAAATTCTTAAAGAATCCTAACCCATCGTTGGTCCTTGTTTTTCACGCTAACTCTTAAAATGAACTATTCTGCATGTCGGCTTTTCCCAGAATTTTAAATGGCATCTGTGGAAGAGCACATGGGCAGAGCTGACAGAAAATCAAACCGGCCCCAGGTTAGAAATCGGAAATAGTCGGGAAACTATGGTAACAGGCCGTGGAAGCGTTTGGAGCACTGGTTCTTAGTCTGGGCCTCAGGTGCCTGGGAACGACACACATACGTGTATAAACTGGACCAAAGTTGCCTATGTACTAACGGAGGTTTTTTCTGGGAATAAGTCCAAAGTTCCATCAAAGTCTCCAACAGGTCCAAGGACCCCCAAAATGTTAAGAAATACTTGTTTTGCTCAAGGGTGGCGGTTTTCTCTTCTGGGGTTCTTTCCTCACCCTTCCAACCCACAGCTTGACTAAGGTGACTCTGCCACAGAGGATCCTTCCGACGCGATGGTCATCATTAGTTCACTCAATAAAGGCAGCAGGAAGAAGCCGCAGGTGACAGCACCTGCTTCCCAGTGTGTCTGGGAGAGCAAGACGGCTCCGGTCGAGCAAAGTGCAAAATACAACCAGCAACCAGCTCTCAACACAAATTAGTTGCCACTGATGATAATAAACCCCACAAATGCAGTAGCTGTGTACTTTCTGTGGCACAGAGTAGCCTAGAGGCCAATATTCTATTCTTTTTTTTTTTTTTTTTAGAGACCAATATTCTAAAAAAGGAAACCAAGGAGGAAGAGAAAAAACATTGAGCTGCTGAGCTTGAATGCCTGCCCCAAACAGGCAGCACCGATCTGTGTCAGCAGCAGCTTCTGGGGGAGAGGTCAAGGAACGTGGCGTTTGTACTTGGATGTGACTCAGTTGAGAAAAGGCCTCATCTGCAGGCCACCGCACCTACTCACTGCTGTGGGCCCCTGGTCCCAAGACACCTTGTGCATTTCAGTCCCAATCTTGTCATCTGGAAAAAAAGAGGGCATTATAGCCCCTACCTCCTAAGGTTGTTGAGAGGACAGAGGAAAGAATGTCTCCAAACCGCCCAGGGTATGGTCATAGAATGAGCAGCCTTTTAAATTTTTTCTTCCCTGAATGAACTGGACAAGGGGCAGAGTTAGTTGCCCCCAAAAGAGCACTGGTTTGAGAGTCCATCTAAAGATCCGTGGGGTTACGTTCTAATGTATCTGCTTTTCTGTCCTGTTAGGGAAGACGGAAAATCTTGGAACCCATTGCCAGCTCTCATTTCCTGCGTGTGTGACCTTGAACGAGTCATTCATCTTCCCAGGCCTCTGTTCCCTCAGCTGCAAATGAGATTTTAATAGTACTCACCAGTTTCAGGGTGTTTCATAACTGGGTGGGTTGCTCCTCTTCGAAAGAGTCTGTACTTTGTCGTGGTTTATGGAGGAGATGACTATGGGGTCTGCCTAAGGCTCTCTAGGCACTGAGGATACAACAGGGAACAAAACGAAGTTGCCACTCTCATGGACTTTATAATTTTTGTAATTGGCATGAAAACCGATTAAAGGGTTTATTTTCTTTCAATTCCCATTAGTTCCAATCTTACGGCCCTTGATGTTTTCAGACCCACATGCTTTCTGTTGCCAAGTGGGGAATATTTTTAGCTTTTGTATGTTTCACTGTGGTCAACAGGGTAACAGCCAATCATAAAGGTCCACCTTCCTTGCTGTGAGTAGGCTTTTTCCTAAAATGTATAATAATTAATGGACCAAATACTGGGATGGTCCAGAGCTTAAGAGCAGACAACCATGGATGTTGGAGGCAGTTTTGCAAGGGATATGAGTTCTCCTTATAGACATAATACAGCCTGTCTCTTAGAAAGGGCATTTAAACATTGGTGTACCTTTTAGTTAATGTGGCTGGGTGGCTAAATTGGTTGGAGCATCATCTGGTACACCGAAATGTTGCCGGTTCACTTTGGGCCAGGTGCGTTTTGGAAGGCAATCAATTAATGTTTCACTTTGATGTTTCTCTCTCTCTCCCTCCCTCTCTAAAATCCATAAACATATCCTTAGGTAAGGATTAAAAAGAAATAAATAAAAAATTTTGTTCAGACTTCAGGAGACTATGAATGAAAACCATACATGGCCAAACTGCATGCAAAATGTCATATATATATACACACACACACACACACAATTTACATGAAGGTATCAGAAAGTGTCAGGCTTCAGGTAAAGGATCTTACTCCCCTATAATCACCTATAACATCCTTTCCCAGGATTAGCTGTGAGTAGTTGGTGCTCAACACAAATGCGTCCTTTTTTTTTAAGATAAATATTAACTGAATAATACATCCATTCATATGCATCACTAAATGCATTAATAAAAGGCGGTCTTCGCGCAAGGCGCTCACAGTCTAGGGATGTGCCAGATGCAAACAGGCTAGGGTGGGACGGGGCCCCAGAGCTGCGGGTGCTCCCGAGTGTACCCCGCCCCTGGAGCTGGACGAGCGATTACGATGGTGCAGCAGAAATCCAACGCCCACCTGGAAGAGAAAGGCACGAGCCTTGGCCGGGGCAGTGGGGAAAACACACAAAACCGTACTTAGCGCGCGGGGACCCGCCAGGGTTTGGAAAGCCCGCGCAGCAGGGCCCCGCCCCGCGCGGCCCAGCCCAGCGCCCAGCGACGCTCTCCATAGCAACCGAGACTTGGCAACATCCGCGCCGCGCTGCGTCGAGACCGGCGTGAGGCGTCACGGTGGCGCGCCGGAAGTGAGTGCAGAGGTCGCCTGAGACCCCGGAAGTTGATTCTGCGGGGGACTGTTGCGGGCTCTGACACCCGGCTCGCGATGGGTTGCGACGGAGGAACAATCCCCAAGAGGCACGAACTGGTGAAGGGGCCCAAGAAGGTTGAAAAGGTCGGCGACTTGGGCCCGGTGGGGACTGAGAGTGGTGGGGCCCCCAGGAGCGAGGAGAGGTGGGCGGTGGGGCCAGCGGGTTTCCAGACGCAGCTGCGCTCTTTGATCCCATTTGGAGAACTCAGACTTAACAACAGTAGTAATAGCCGCCCTTTGTTGCGTGCTTGCTGTTGTCTTTCACCCGGCAGTGCCCTTAGTATGGGGTATCTCATGCAGTTCTCCCATTGGTACGTACTGTCGCTGTCTTCACTGGGCAGACACGGAAAGGAGAAAATTGACTCTGGCAATAGCGCCAGGATTCGAAGCCTATGTGCCGTCGTAGTAACTGATACAAATGGCTGCTGTTTATTGAGCTTTGTGTGCACTAACGTCATTTTCTCAGGAAAGACTTCCCAGAGCGTTTCCTTGCCTCCATGAGATCAGGCCCTTCTCTTAAAAACGGTATAACCCCCTGTACACTGCGTTCATGGTTGATGAGTGACGGTCTCAGAGGACAATAAGCTCCTGGGAGCAGAGCGGGTGCCTTTTCCCCCTCTACAAGCAGCATGGTCCCTAGCACACTAAGTACAATGTAATGAATTGATGGATGAATGAGTAATTTCTAACTCTCACAGGTCATTTGTCAAATTATATATAATTCCCATGCTCCTGACAGGGAAATTGAGTCAGTAACATGACCAAGATCTCACAACCCGTAGGTAGTGAAACCTAGATTCCCATTCAGTTACTCAGAATTTCAGAGTTAGGACTAGTAATTGCTTATTAATAGAAGGCACGTGAAGCATCTCAAAACAGTGTTGCACTGGTGGCAGGTGTCTCGGGGCTGCACTGCAGTGTGAATTTTGATAAGAGCCATTGAAATTCCCCTGCGGATCTGGGGAATGGGTAGAATAACGATCGCAGCGGTGTGGGTGTGGTTTGGTTTGAAATAATAGAGAGTAGTGATTAGTAAGTAGCACGGTCTCAGGAGCCAGCCTGCTCATGTTGTAGATCTTTCATCTGCTTGCGGGACAACCTCTTGGTGGTTCACTTTGCTCAACAACAAAGGCAGGAATACTGAGCCAAAGGGTGTTTCTGAGGAAGAAAAGATGAAGTTGCAGAAACTGTTTAGCACAGTGCCTGGAACACGGCAGACACTTAAGCAATTCTTGCTGCAAAAATCAAATTTAAGGGGAGTTTTTTCTTTTTTTTTATTTTCTACCAAATGTGCCACCTTGTTACATTATTTAGGTTTGGCATTTTAGGAGGGGGAAAGAGTGGGACATCGAATATTATATAGGTAAAACTATCATCTGATAATATAAAGAATTTTATAAAGAATTAAATAGTCTTTGGGCTGAACTTTTAAATATGAATGCCTGTATTATCAGTTTTTAGTCTTAAATCATGCTAAAACTTTGTAGCCCTTCCCATTGTTATAAATTAACCTGCACTGCTCACTTTTTCTGTGTGGCTTCCCGAACTTACTGTTAAGATACAAATATTAATATATATATTTTTTAAGATTTTATTTATTTATCTTTAGAGGGGAAGGGAAGGAGAGAGGGAGAGAAACATCAATGTATGGTTGCCTTTCGTGTGTCCTCTGCTGGGAACTGGCCTGCAGGGAACTGGCCTGCAACCCAGACACGTGCCCTGACTGGGAATCAAACCGTGATCGTGTGGTTCGCAGGCCTGCGCTCAATCCACTGAGCTACACCAGCTAGGGCTCAAATATTAATATTTATATGTAGCTTGCATAGCAATCTAATGGCTTAATGTAAACTGTTCCATCCTAGGTGTCATGTCTAGAGAGGACTTCATTTGACATAGTATTGATTACTTTGACTTTTTAAATCCCAGCTTCTTGTGTCACTATCTTCATAAAAAACAAAAATAATTAGTGTGATATTATGGAATAAGCCTTTATATGTAGCACTGTGGACTGTGTTCAGAGGTAAAAATCAGTTTCAAAGATTTTTTTCTTTTCTTAGGTTGACAAAGATGCTGAATTGGTGGCCCAGTGGAACTATTGTGCTCTAAGTCAGGAAATACTAAGGCGACCAATAGTTGCCTGTGAACTTGGCAGGTATGGATCCTTAATTGAAATGAGTTTTTATTAAATGATTTTGAAAAGAATTTTAATATGTCAGTGCAGTTCTTGACTCATCCAGTGGGAATTATTGCAGGCAAATTTGTAAGTCCCAGGTTAGCATTCCCTGTGAGCATCCTGGTACACCGCCTGCTCAGTTTGGCTTATTCAACCCATGGGTTGAAAACTCACGGGTGGGTATGAACACAAACGCATGCAGGAGCCATGGGGGTCACCGGGGATCGTGGGACGGAGAGAAACTGGAGAGTTCATGTCCTGTGTGAAGGGTAGCTGCTACTCAGTCCCACCCTGCTGTGCCAGTTCAAGAACGTGGGCCCAGTGATTCTCTAACTGCTGGTTTTATTTTTCTATTCAGGAAAAGTTCAAAGTGTGTACTTTTATATTAAATTTCCCAATTTTTAAAATCCTGGTTAAGGTCCAGCCAGCCCTCAAACAAGCAGTTTGCAACCCTTGATTTTAAACTAGTCTGTTTCTTTGAATGCCCTGGGCATAGTTGAGAGAGGATTCCATTTCCTTTTTCAGGAAGTCTGAGCATTTCTGTTATGGAATGTAGAATGACTTTAGATTGTCCACAATTCAGTCTTCGTCCTTTGTGCGAAGGTTCATTGTTGCCAGAATGTTTTGACTAATCTTTCTTGTTGCAGACTGTACAACAAAGATGCTGTCATTGAGTTTCTACTGGACAAATCTTCCGAGAAGGCCCTTGGGAAGGCAGCCTCCCACATTAAGAGCATTAAGGTGAGACAGGTGGCCCTTGGGTAAGGTTGATCGTATGGAATCCATGTATGTGATAGCCTGACCTCAGATGGGTGGGATTGCATCCCCACCCAGCCGGCTGATTAAGGTGTGATTTGGGGCGGCCACTTGAAGTCCAGGCTGAAAGGGTCCTGCACCTGTATTTTCGGCGTCATAAACCCGTTATGATTTAATATGTGTGAAAGAGCTTTGAAAACTCTTCCTGTGCTGCATACATGTTGGGATACCTTGTTTTTGTAGTTAAAATTTAACTACTTGAATTTTTGATTCGGAAGATACTTTATAGAATTGGAGGAATTTAGACTGGTAAACCGTGTGGTTCTCTCCTGCTGACCAAAAGTTCTGATTGGAAAAACAAGTTTTTAGTAAAAGAAGTTTGTGGAGAGGACAGCATTTTTCAAATGTGGTCGGTCAGTGAGAGAAGAACCAGAAAAGTAGCGCAGAACTGGAGGGCCTTTTGGCTTGTCAAGCGCGGGGTCTCACCCACTCTCCGAAGACCTCATTCAGGCAGGGCGCAGGTTAGAATTAAATGCAGACCAGACCCCCGACTCTTGGTCTGAGGCTTTAGGTTTTTTCTTTTTCCCCTTCTCTTTTTAAATGTTTTATTATTGTATTAGGCTTTTTCTTTGAATTCTTGGAGTGATTACAGAGCACAGGGTATGTTCATTCCAGGCAAATTAGTAATTCTTAAATGTAGTGAATCATAGTACTGTAGAAATAACTGTGCTGATTTTTGTCATCTTTTGCCTTGGGAAGAGAATTTCCTCCTGAAAAGCCCATGATAGCATAATTATCTTACCTGAAAAATGTGATTATTGTTAAAAGGTATTTATATAAGTCTATACTTAAACCACAGTATTCAATATATGTGGTTGAACTTTTCATTTTATTTTTTAATTTTTTAATCTTTATTGTATTTTTAATTGCTTTTTAGACCCCTTTACACCCCCTGAACTTTTCATTTTAATGCCCCCGAAAAACCTCTTCTTCCAAGACTATGAAATATAAAGACAAAAGGGTTCAAATAAAGCAATGCAAATGTTAAAAAGAGGGAAATATATAAAACACAAGTATAAAAAAATAAAGCAGTGCACTTGCACTGCTTTGTTAGTGTGGGTTAGTCGACCACAGTGCTCCGAGAAGAGAACGGAGACCCGACGCCGGTCTGAGCCGGGAGGCCGGCCGTGTGCAGGGTGGCTTTCCTCTGGAGGGACTGGGCTGCTCTTCAAAATGGTTTCTTTCATGGTTTCTCTTGTTTATTTTTTTAAAAATGTTTCTGTCTCCAGAGTGTTGACATCAAAGGGGTGTGGTTAAATATGAAGAATGCCTCAAATGCTGATGTTGGGCCAAGGCACCCCCTGTCAAATGGGATGGTTTGAGACCCAAAGGGCTGGCTCTGAGAATGTGACAGTGGCTGCTGGCTGATACTCGGCCTTGGGCTCAGCAGACTGTGGCCTCAGATGGCGCTGGTTCTTCCTCGGTCAGATAAACGTGGGCGGCTGGGAGTATGGAACAGCCTCGGGAGGGCTCCTGAGCAGGGAAAGAAAGGGTCCTTTCCGGATGAAGTCATTACGAAGCTTTCTTCTAGTGGACTGATTTTTTTATTGTTAGAAGTTACTTTTTCTTAAATAGCAGAATATATGTGAAATAGAAATTAACTTATTTGCTAGTTCGTGAATTTTAAAAATCATGTTTTCTCTTCCAGTTTATGGTTTAGTTTTCTATCCATATTAATTGGCGGCCAAAGGAAAGTAGCTAGGAAGAAGAGGTTTGAATGGGAAGGCACTAGAATAATAGTTTCTTTGTTGATTTGGGTGGTTATTAAGGCTACGGGTGATCCACATAGCAAGCAAATTATTAAAATATTGATGTCTTTTCACAGAATGTGACAGAACTGAGGCTTTCTGACAATCCCGCCTGGGAAGGGGACAGAGGAAACACAAAGGGTGACAAACATGATGACCTCCAGCGGGCGCGGTTCATCTGCCCAGTCGTGGGCCTGGAGATGAATGGCCGACACAGGTGTGTCTCGGTAAAGAACACTGGTACTGGGGGGGTTGTGCCAGAGCGTGGTAGTCACACAGGCCCTCGAGGAGGCCCTTCGCTTGGGGAGGTCATGCCCTACCAGCCATTTGTGACGTGGTGTCCAAGTCCACTCATCTCTGTTGACGGTGGCCTTCTGTTCTCGAGAGCAGGAGGGCTGGAGACAAAGAGGGATTTTATAGACTTTCCGACATGCTGCTTATGAGATGGCTTGGTTACCCAGTCTCTTCCTACAGGAAAGAAACAGAGCAACTGTTTGCTGTCAGACCGCCCATTTCCTTGTCATTGCTAAAAAAACCCGCAGTGGAAACAGTGTTACAGAAGGTGTGGGTGGGTGGTCAGCTGAAGGCCCAGCTGACAGTAACTTGATTTGAGTTTGTAGCTGAAAGTCCTCTGGCCAGAGCGCCAGAAGTCTTCAGGTTGAACTTGGTGTAATATGTGTAAGTGACCTGTATATGTTTCTCCTTTAAAAAATACGAATGTCGAGTGGGTTAGGAGGTACCTTTGTGTAGGATGTCACTCAAGCCAAAGCTCTAAACCCTTTTGCCGCCATCGAGAAAGATCTGTAATAGCTGGTGATCGAGACAGAATCTTCCATCTAATATAGCACGTTGAAGGGCAGTCATCTTTTTACCATTTTCAGGGAAGGGGAGAAAGCATCTCGAGTGAGAAAACTCACCGAGCTGTAAACATTTCACCTGGAGCTTTCTGGCACGTTGGTGCATGTGCACGTCCCAGACGCAGGCGTGCTGCGGCGTGTGGCGGGTGTCGGCAGAGAGGACTGCCACTGTGCTCTGGAAGGGAGGAGGGAAAGGTTTCATTCTTCCGACGACCTGAACTCATCATTCCGGCCTGCCTCCCAGACCTCGCCATTCAGTAGTGACCGGCCGGTGGTGCCTGATTACTTAGCTGGATTGTGCTGCCTATTTCTCTGTGCAGACGTGTGTCAGATCGTCAGGTTGTGCCCCTTCGGTGAACGCAGTTCCTGGTCACCAGTTTTACCTGAACAGACCTGGAAAATAACAACGTAAAACGCCATAGTTCACTCGCCGTTTGGGCTGAGCAGGAAGTCCTTGGGCACTGGACACATACACCTGACACCCCTACCCCCAGCCCCCTGGCCCCCAGCGCCTGGCAACCATTGATCTGCTTTCTGGCCCAATGGCTTCACATACTCTGGGCATTTCATGTAAATAGCAGCAGACCGTACGTGACCTTTTGTGTCAGTTCCCCACTTCTTTTTAAGAAAGCCGCAGCTCGCTCTGAAAGAGGAACCTACCTAGCAGAAACAGCTGCAGCTCCGGGCCTAAGTGGGGGCCCGCTGGGGGCTGCTGCTCTGACTGTGGCTTCCTGCAGTCTCGCCCCCCCCCACCCCCCTACCCCCCCACCCCCGCCTGCGCTTCCTCCGCTTCTCTTCCCAGGTAACCGGCCCTCACCTGTTCCACTCCGTCCTCCTATTAATGGGATTTTCCCATTGGAAAGTCAGTTTGTTTTATATTTCGTAAAGTTTGTATAATAAAGATTTAAATATATAGAAAAATGGAAATGAAATAGTAGCATAATAAAAACATTGAGCCTTTTTCCAAAGAAAACCAACTAATCTCTTAAATTACTAATAATTAGTAAGCATCCATAAAATAGGTTTTTTGGAGAGTCCTAACCAACATTTAGTGAGTTTAGTACAGTGTTGGGAATCGGGTTGTAGCAGGGCGGTCCGCAGCTGTCGTTATTATTGGGAAACTGGAGAGTCTTTCCTCTGTGGCATTCTGGAGGAGTGTGTGAAGTGGAAAGTGCTTTGTGCCCGCCCCCTCCCCCCGCCGCCTCCAGAAGGGACGTCATTAGTTGTTTGGTGTTTCACAGCCCCCGCAGGCCCTCCCAACCCCAGCCCCACACTGCCCCACGCCTCTGCAGGTCAGGGTGTAAGCGTGTTTTCTCCCCACAGTCATGGGGTTGATTATACATATTCTGTAACTTTCCCCCCCTACTTCTCTCATTTGAACACGTTTTCATGCCTTTTGTAGAGGTTTACCTTATTTATGTATTTTTTATCCTCGTCCAAGGACATGCTCACTGACTTTAGAGAGTGGGAGAGGGAGGGAGAAAGGGAGAGAAACAGATGCGAGAGAGAGAGAGACCTCATTCCGTTGCCTCCCGTGAGTGCCCCGACTGCAGACTGAACCCAAGATCTAGGAACGTACCCTGACCAGGAATCGAACCTGCAGCCTTCTGGTGTACAGGACAATGCTCCAACCAACGGAGCCACGCTGGCCAGGGCCATCTCGTTCTTTGCGGTGCACAGTCGACTCAGCCTCCCTTACCGAGGAACGTGCTGGCGGTTTCCTCTTTCCCACCGTCCCAGGCAGTGCTGGCTGCGCTACGCTACTTCGTAGCCACCTGGAGACATTCTGGAGCGCGGCGCTGCACCCGACCTGTCCGATTGCCCCCCCCAACGTGCTGTGTCGAGCTCCCTGCCCGACGATGAGCGAGCTGTCCCCTCAGACACCTGCCCACCGATTCCTTGAGCCGCTTTCCTCACTGCCTCAGGGGGAAGGCATCATGTCAGTGTTTCAAAAAAGCGTTTCTTTAACGGCTGAGTTTGAGCCCCTATTACAGGTGTTGGCCATTTATATTTATAGGAGAGACTTTATTCCAAAGGCTTTATTGCAGGAGGATGGGAATGGCCCTGTGGCCTGTGTTTGTGCTTTTAATTTATGTGTATAAACATAACAAAATGAGACCGTTTTTCAGTGTGGTTCTTGGCCTTTGTGTAAACTGAACAAATGTTAATGGATCACATGGACGAGAGTTTTTCGCTTATCCTGAAGTCATTCTCCACTTTGGGTTATTTCTCCAGGTTTTGTTTCCTGCGGTGCTGTGGTTGCGTGTTTTCTGAGCGAGCCCTGAAAGAGATAAAAGCAGAAGTTTGTCACACGGTGAGTTGTTGACATGTGCCCGTGGTCCCGTCTCAGTAGCCGAGGAAATCGGGTGGTCTCAGCCCTCCCTTCCGCGGGTCACTTCGGCCTCCTTGGGTTCTTTGTGAAGCACGGGCCTCATTCGTCGCAGCCTGTCACTGCGGGGAGGGCAGAGCCAGACCGTCTCTGGTGGCCCTGCCTGCCCGGCCTGCCTACCGGGCCCGAGAGCCGCTCTTGGCCCGCGCCACTGTTCCCTCCGCCCTGCCCGGCCGGCCTGGAGGGGTCCTCCAGGCACCTCAGCTCCAGAGCCACAGCCTCCCCGGCGGGCCCTGCCTGCGGCCCTCTTCCCGCCCCAGGCTCCTTGCTGGCCCCTGACCTCTGCTGGGTGTCATCGGCAGCTCCGAGGCCATTCCTCACGGGACTGTGAGGGCGTTCCCTTTCTTTTCTGTTTTTAAATAAGACTTGATTGTTTTTGGAGTGATTTTGGGTTTACAGTAAATTAAGAGGAAGGTAAGCGGTTTCCCATATTCCCTCTGCCCCCCTATGCGCAGCCCTCCCCGCCCTCACACCCCCGCCATGGCGGTGCATTCGCTGCCCGTCACCAACTCCCGGAGGCCGAGGTTTCCTCTGGGCTTCACTCCTGGCGCCGCGCGTTCCAGGGGTTTGGCAAACAGTGACGTGCACCGTCCACCTTCACGGTGTCGTCACACAGGTGTCTTCACGGCCCTGAAAACACACTGTCCCTCCTGTGGGGGTTCGCGGGCCGACTCGCCCGGGCATGTCACGTGTCCTCGGTAAAAATGCTCGGACAGGGGAGCAGACGTCGGTGTGGGGGCCCATGGGAAGGAGACGCCGTGGCTCTGCGGGCCCTTTGCTGCTGCAGCGGAACATTTGTGTCGGGGGGGGGGGGGTTCTGCCGGCCCAGGGCAGACCCGGCGTTTAGTGTAGCGCCATGGCTGCCAGTGGCTCCGGGCCCCACTGTCTCACCCTCTTGTGAGAGGTCCCTTCCTTCATCAGCGTGCGCCGAGCAGTCGAGAGGGCCCATCCTGTCCCCTGCACTGTTCGGTGGGCAAGGGTGGTGGCCCTGCCTGCTTGGGACCTACTGTCCAGCTGGGGAGGGAGACACTCAGTGCCTGAGTGGGGCAGTGTCGGTGGGCAGGGGCTGCAGAGGAGACACAGCGGCTGCCCCCGGGGAGGGAGGCCTCCTCGGCGGGGCTGCAGAGGCACCTCTGGAGGTTCGAGCCAGGCCTGAAGGGCGCGGAGGAGGCAGCCAAGCGGGGTCTGGGCAACAGCTCAGACGGGATGGAGGTCTGTGCTGGGTCAAGGAACAGAAAGTGGGGTGCAGGAGAAGTAGATGGGGTCGGGGGGCAGGCAGGGCTCCCTTCAGGCCGGCACGCTGGGGCTGCTGGACTCCACTCCAAGAGCGGTGGGAAGCCAGAGGCAGCGAGACGCTGGACGGGGGCCATTCGTTCTAAAGGATCCCTCTAGAAAAGAGGCCGGCGCAGAGGAGGACGCACTGGGTGTTCCCATTTGTTAGGGGTGCAGAGACAGCGAAAGATACCTGGTAGGGATGAGGTCGGTTTGGGGCGATTATGAATGAAGCCATCGTAGAATTTGGCATCTGTCCATGAGGCTTTTACGAAGAAAAGGTGTAAAGGATGCACTGAAGAGTTGATCAGGCCGTTCGTGCACCCGGACTCACTGCGTCTCCTGCACCGAAGTCGAGGTGCAGGCGCTCCGGGCAGAGGGCGTGGGGCGCGGGCACCATGCTCAGCAGACTGCGTCCTGCAGGGACACTAGTCACCTGAAAAATCATGTTCTGCTGCGTCGTTTGGGGCCGGATGGCAGAGATGTCACTGGCGTGCAGGGGCCAGAGAACTTCCTTTGACCGTGGGGGTGAGGACCGGCTTTGTGAAGGAGCAGGTGTTTGTTCCAGGCCTTGTAGGCGGGCCTGTTTCCCGTCGTCAGTCAGACCCCAGAGGTGGGGACGGCCCCCAGCTGGTGGAAGGAGGACTGTGCGGGGGGAGGGGGGGGGCCCGCAGACAGGAGGGCACAGGCCCCAAGGACAGCACTTCGGGCACGGGGACTCCCAGTGGGCGCTCCTGCACAGCGCCTGCTCGCTCACCTTGGAGGGGCGGCCTCCCGTTTGGTCCTGGCGCTCTGAGCACGTCTCTGGCCGAGCTCCTGTGACGGGGTCTGTGCCCCTGCTGCCTGCAGAGCTTGGCGGGCAGGACCTGGTGAGACTGGTGTGTGTTGTGCTTGTGTTTGTGCTTGTTTTATATTTCTTGCAAGGGTACTGTTTTTTAAATTCATGGTTGGACTACAAAGTTGACTTTTAAAGTAAATTTAGGGAGAGCCCTGACTGGTGTGGGGCTCAGTGGGTTGAGTACGTTCCGCAAACAAAAGGGTGGCGGGTTCGATTCCCTGTCAGGGCACCTGCCTGGGTTGCAGGTTTCGTCCCTGGTGGGGGGGGTGTGAGAGGCAGCTGATTAATGTTTCTCTTGCACATCGATGTTTCTCTTCCTCTCTCCCTTCTTACCCTGTTTCTAAAAGTATGTAAAATCTCAAATAAAGTAAATTTAAGTAGAAACAATGGGTAAATTGAAAGAAAAATGTTCCGGCCCAACAGCACTTTTGGCAGGGTTGGCCTGCCGTTTGTGGGGTGCTGTTGTGAATGAGGGTAGGTGCGCAGTGGGGGGAGGGAGTGGGGGAAAGATGGGGGTGTTGAGAAGAGGAGGAGGAGGAGCCGCCAGATACGGGGAGGAAGAGGCCCAGGCAGCCCAAGCAGATGGGGCACAGGCTCAGGGCTGTGGGCAGGGAGCAGGGAGATGGCTGGAGGCGTGAGTCGGGGTGGGCGGTGGGCAGCCGCAGTGCCAGACTGGGGAGCGGTCAGAGTGGGTGTGTGGAGGGAGCGAGCCTTCGGTGCAGGCGTTGGACGGCAGGTGCGGAAAAGGAGCCCATGTGGGGAGCAGGAGGTCGGCTGGTTGGGGGGTCCCCATTCTCAGGAAAGGCACTGCGCACCACTCTGGGCTCACTGTGGGCGCGCCAGCCAGGTGTGTGCAAGGGGCTGTGTCAGCTGCACACTTGAAAGGAGGTAAATGGGGGAGGTGGGAAGTGAAGCTGAAATTGTTACGGAAGCTGGATGTCCTAAACCGGTGGCTCCCAAACCCGGCTTTCCCGATGGAATCGCCCCAGTGGTTCGTTAAGCTCCCATTCCCATCTCAGACCCTAAATCAAAACTGTTAGGGTGGGTGTAGATCCCCCCCCAGATTTCTCCTTTTATGTAGAAGTTCCCAGATTAGTCCTAACGGGCTGCCAGTTCGGGGGAACTCTGGTCTCCAGCAGTCGAACGTTTTTTGCTCTGCCCGTACGTAACAGCGGCCCTCTCTTAGATCAGCAGGCAACATTCCTGGTTTTGGAAGCAAAGTCTTTTTAAATTTTATTTATTTAGTCATATTTTTATTGCTGACACCAGTGGCGATGTTCCTTCTCATTGGCTGACCTCACGCTTCACGTTAGTAAGCACATTGCATGACATGCGTAGCAGCTTTACAGAGAAGTTGACTTTATCTTAGGAAAACGCAGTGTTACAAGGAAACTCTGAAATCGCTTTGCAGGTGCTTGGGAAATCTTACTGAACTCCAGCCAACCTGAAAGTTTGTACCTTTAGCACTTCAGGGGAAGGGAAGGAAGCAGAGGAAAGGGGAAGTGCCTGCGTCAGGGGTGCGCAAGGAGAGGGGACAAGCCGGGCCTCCTGTAGGCAAGGAGGGACACCGGCTGCAGTTCAGGCAGGTGTCAGGGAGGAACCGTTCTTAAAAACACATCCGTGGCCCTGGCTGGTGTGGCTCAGTGGACTGAGTGCCAGTCTGCGAACCAAAGGGCTGCCAGTTTGACTCCCAGTCAGGGCACATGCCTGGGTTGCAGGCCGGGTCCCCAGTAGGGGGTGTAAGAGAGGCAACCACACATTAATGTTTCTCTCCCTCCCTTCCCCTCTCTCTAAAAATAAATAAATAAAATCTTACAAAAATAACATCTGTTGCCAAAAGACCAAGGCAATAAGCACTTTGCCCATAGTTATATAGTCTACATAAATAGTCTACATGAATGTTGCCTGTGCTGGGTGACACGGAGTACTCGTTAGCTTGCCAGGGCAGCCACAACAAGGTGCCCCAACTGGGTGGCTTAACAGAAACGTGCCATCTCCGAGTTCTAGAGGCTGAAGGCTGGGTCCCCGGCAGGGCTGGCTCCTTCCCAGGGCTGGGAGGGGATGAGCCGTCCAGACGCGGCTGCTGGTTTGCAGATGGCCTTCCAGTCCCGTGTCTCCTCGGTGGCCTTTCTCCTGTGGGGTCCGCCTCTGTATCCGCATCTCCCCTGCTTCTAAGGCCACCAGTCATCCTGGATTAGGCCCACCCTAGGGACTGCCTCTCAATGACATCTACAGTGAGGTCATGTTCTGACATGCTGGGGGCTAGGACTTTGGCATTTGGGGGGCACACAGCGCAGCCAAAAACTCGATACAATGCAGGGCACTCACTGGCCTGGGGAGTGGAGTCTCCCATCCATTCATTCAGGAAACCAGAATGGAGAGCTTCATGTGTGTCGGTGAGTGTCAGCCGTGCGTGTGGGCCATGCGTGTTGGCCGAGGCTCACGCACCAGAGCTGGCTCGGGACTGTCACCTCCACTTTCTGGGCTTTAGATTCAAATATGCAAAATTAAGAAATTAAATTCCTGCACACTTTCTTTTTAGACCCAAACTCCAAATAGTAGCATTTTTAAATGAAGGAATCAAGTGACAAATTTGCAGACTGTTATCGGGAGTCACTCTCCTACTTCTCATTCAGACTCTCTAGAGGTCGTGCGTACCGAGCACCGCCCTCAGGGTTGGCCCACTGCGGTAACACTGGGCCACAGTGGAAGCTTCCTGCCACCCGCTTTCTTCTAAGGGAAATACAAGGTCTCGGGTTCCTGCTGTCGTGCGGCTCGGACCTCCTCTGGTTTGGGGATTCTTCTCCCTTCCATCAACTGATGGGACACAGGAGGGAGCATTTAGCTAAGGGGGTTTTAATGGGCTTGTCCTCACATGCCATTGGCCAAAACTCAGTCATGTGGTCATGCCTAACTGCAAGGGAGCCTGGGAAATGTAGTCTGGCTGAGCCCACAAAGAGCTGGTGAAGCCCAGCTTTTGATGCCCAAAGGAAGAAGGACAGTGGCGTCTTGGGAGCTGTGGTGCATTGGGAAGATGTGGTCACAGTGAGGAAAGGCCAGCGTCAAAGTCCCAAAGCAGGCGTTTCTGCTTTTCAGGTGGTGTCCCAAGTTCAGAGAAGCCCTCTGGAACGTCAGTGGCATTCAGGGTGCGCGCTTTTTCTGCATTTCACTCTGCAGTCCCACCTCCATCTGCCTTTCAGTTGCACTAAAAGAGATTCGAGGCTTTGAAGTAGCCTGGTTCTGGGCTCCGAAGCCCAGGGTACGCACGCTGACGTCAGTAACGGGGTCCAAAGAGACGCAGTTGCTAGGTTGTTTTGTTTTCAATGTAAATAAATCACTAGCCAGGAAATTAATTGTATTCCCCACTGCGTCCCTTCCTCCTTGTAATAAGAAGCAATGCACTGTAGCGATCACAGGTCACACAGTAAAGGGTGCACTTGTTACTCAAAGCGAGATCCGTGGTCCTGAACACTGGTGTCAGCTGGGAGGTGTTGGTTTCTCTTTTGAAGGAATGCAGACTCCCAGGCCCTCCCCAGACCTGCAGAATCAGAATCTGAGTTTTCACAAGATACCAGGGATCTGTGTGCACAGTAAATTTTGAGGTGCGCTGGTCCAGATCGTCGGGGCAAACTTGGTAGCATTTGACTTTTAGCCCTCTAGCTTCGTTTATTGAGTCTGTGATGGGCGAGTGGGGTATACGGGTGTTTTAAAGTCAGAAGTAAAACAGAAATTTACACCCTTACTGTTTCTGGGGGTTTTTGTTTTGTTTTGTTTTGCTTTTGTTCTCTTCGTGGGGGTTGGGGGTAGATTGAAAAAGTGAGAAAATAAGTTAGGGAAGCGGGTGTGTCTTCAACAGTGGTCAGCAGATTTGCTTTTCAGGCGCTGGCCTGCAGGTGTCTGGCCGTCTGCTGCCTTTGTGGTCTTTGTGAATGTTAAGCCTCAGCATCTGGCACAGGCAGCCTGAGACTTGTACAGGTGAGGAGGGTCTAAGGAAAAGCGGAACAGGAGACTGCATGCTGGCGAGAAGTTCGTGTTCCTAGAAAACTTGAGAAATTACCCCAAGGTCCCCATTAAATCATCGGCTTCGAGATGCGGTCTCGTGACCTCTGTCCAGGCCAGGAAAGTGGCCCATGATTAGTAGCAGTCTCGTCCAGAGCTGACTTGTATCAGACTCATTTCCCACCTTCCTTCTCCGGTTAAACGCTCTCTCATTTCGCGCCAAGGAGGCAGAGTGCACCAGCACGAGAGCACACACTCCTCGCAACTCCCAGCCCGGGGCTCAGTGCACACGGAAGTGGGTCTGCCGTGGGAAATGCCAGTGCGGCTCCACGGGAACCTCTGCCTGCTGCAGGACTCGCCGCCTGTGCCACCTCTCCAGGCACGCCAGCACCAGAGGCTCTGCCGAGGACTCGAATTTGCTGGCAAACAGAGAAGGCGACCGCACGAGCCGCGGCAGGTCTGCTGGGCCGTAGACGCAGCTGTCCCGGTCGGAGCGGCCTGTGAGGGGAGACCCAGAAACTTAGCTGCTTTTGTTCCCGAGTCGGCTCACTTATTTTTAGTTTTTATTTTAATGATCTTACTTATTTAGAGAGAGGGGAATAGACGGAGAGAAACATCGATTAGTTAGTTGCCTCTCAGACCTGCCCAACCGAGGACCGAACCCACAACCCAGGCGTGTGCCCTACCCGGGAATCAAACCTGCCACCTCTCGGTCTGCAGGATGATGCCCAGGCCACCGGGCCACACCAGTCAGGACCTGTGTCAATTTGCATTCACACACAAAAGTGACCTGCTTCTGAGGTCATCCGTGAGCCTCTTTGCTTCACGGGACTTCAAATTAAGTAGGACCTCCGTGAAGGCTCTGACAGGACTCCTTTGTTTAATTTCGAATTCGCGATGGGAGGGCAGTTTTCGTTCTTTTTGCCAGTGACAGCTGAGATGTTCGATGGCTCCTCTAAGTGGCTACTCTGGGACTTCAGCTGGTCGTGAGTGCGAGGGGGGTACAACACTCCATTTGCCTGGGAAATCTGAATTCTGATAGCTGCTCTTGTAAGGCCCGTGAACTTTTCAGTGTTTTTCTTGGTTGTGAGTATGTTCGTAAGGATTGACAGGATTTTCCCAGGTCCTTGGTTTTGCAGAGTATGTGTTTGATGTAAACAGAATCCAGCGCTGATTGGGGCCCTTGGAGGTGAACTCAGCAGCGCGTTTTACATGCCTGTCACTGCTCTTGGCTCTTCTCCTTCTCAGTCCTCCTGCCGACACCGCGGGCATTTCTGCCATCACCTCCAGGGTGCAGAGAAGTGGGCACTCAGCTAGTGGGGGGGCATGCTCTGTCCTTTCTGGAGACCCTGCTCTTTCCTCTGCCCCCTCCGCCCCTCCCACCCCGGCATCCTGTGCCTAAACACCTCTCCTAAGGAAACGTTATCTTGAAAGGGGCAGAACTGCATGCACAGAAACACCCGCTGAGACTGGGCTCATCAGAAAGGGCCTTCCCTGCCGAGCAGGCGCGCTCGCATAGTGAGAGGCTAGAACTGGGACGTGGCGAGGCTGCCGTAAGCGCGCAGCTGTCCTGACTGTCCCCCAGCTGGAGCACGACTGCCTGTTTCAAAACAGAAGCGGTGGCAGCCCTTCAGATGTGGCCGCTGAGGGCCGCCTCTGCCCAGTAGAGGGCGTGGCAGAGGCTGCCCAGAGGTTGAATGAGCCACGTGAATCCGTAGCTGCGAGATGTCACTGAAAACCCAGTCAAAACACATAAACAATTTATAGTAGGTTGGAAAATACCCCTTTCCAAGAACGAAACCTGCAGTAAGAAAATGTCTCCAGTTTCTTTTAAGGAGCAGGGATTCATATCTGGGGTGAAGTGCCCAGCGGAGCAGACTTCCTGTAAGGACTCGCGTACCTACCCGATCCCACCCTGAGTTGTCACAACTGGTGCAATAAGGGGGTTGGCCTGGCTGTGTCCGAAAACATGTCATTCATGCCAACAGGCTCGGGGAGCTTGGAGGTGGTGGTCAGCTCTGGTCGGGAGCAGGTGTCTGCATTACTTTCCTGTTTCACTGGAGAGACCCCGGGAGGCACAGAGCTGGTCGCCGACTGATGTTTGGGTCTGAGCTCTGGGGGCCAGTGGGCGGGCCGGCCACTCGTGTGTTTCAGACTTCGGAAAGTTGCAGCCCTGTGGTGCGCTCACTTGGGACTTTTATCAACCCCAGATACTTACGATGTCTGCACTTTCTGTGTGCATCTTATACTTAAATTAAAAAGTTTTAAAGTTTGACTCCAGGCCAATTGGATCACCACTAATCCAAGATCTCTTTAAATGGGAGGGAGGCAGCAGTTATCTCATGTTCGTAAAACTAGAAACTAGAAGGCTCTTTCTGGGTTTGTCTCTGTGTTTACCTGCACATCCGTCGTGAGCGTCTCCCTCCTTGCCCCTCCATTTCGTGGCTCGAACGTCGTTGCCCTCCCAGCCAGCATTTGGTGTGGCGCCCGGGGCATCTGCGGGGAAGAGAGAGAAACACAAATGTGCCGCGCGGGCCGGCCCCTCCGTCCTGTCAGACAGGTCCTTCCGCGCCGCCAGCTCCACTTCCTCTGGACGCGGCCACCGACAGACCATGGCTGCCAAGTCCAGGCCCGCCCTGGGGGGCTGGTGGCAGGCACTACCCTGGCGGTGGTCTTAGGGCGACCACGGCCTCACATCTCGGTCCTCCCGCCTAGATTCCATTTTCACCCCTTTCTGCCGCCCTGGTAACTGACGTTCACAGCGTGGTCTTCAGTTATGTTGGGTTTCACTGGGTTCTGTTTCCGCTGTGAGCCCTCTGCGGTGGCTTGAAAATGGGGTTCCAGTGGACAGGAGAGGCTGTACAACAGCCCTGGCCGATTTCTGCTGGGGTCACCGTTCTGTCGTCCGGGCTGATGAGCTTAGCCGTTCCAGCTCGAAGCCCCACCCCCAGGAGCCCATCAGCCGTCCATGAAGGAAATGAGGCCGCTGAGGGGTATCAGTTTCCCCCTGCCTCTCAGAACTACCTCCTGGATCACAGTAGCCACCGAAAATTAATCGTTTTCATTGTTAAGGAGCCCCCAGCACTCGCAGGGGTTCAGTGGTGCTTATGATACGAGCGAGGATAGGAACAGCCTTCCCGGTATTTGCACAGAGGCTGTTCAGAAGGCTCTGTGCTGTGTGAAACCCTTCTTTCTGGGCGGGGAGCAGTGCAGCCAGGCTGATTTGGGGGCAGGGTGGCCCCTCAGCCCACCTCGGTAGGTCTTGCAGAGTACAGCGCTGTTGACCGAGCCACGTGAAATAGCTGGAGTGAGCGTCCCCTCCCTACCCCCTGAGCCGAGCACACAGCGTGCTGCTGGGTGGCACTTACCTTCCACATGGTTCAGCGTCACCCAGTAGTGGCACTCGGGGCTCTGGAGGGCTTTGGACCAGCGGAGCATGTCTTTCGCACGGGTGTCGGTCAGTACAAACTGGACAAACGCCCTCGTTAGTACATAGTAAGCACTTCCAAAGTAGATCGTTAAGTTATAGGGTGGTTCCTCTTGGAACCGTTGGTTTGGAGATGCGCGGACGCTTCCTTCTGGGGCGGATTCGGGCCGACTTGGGCTTGTTGTGGGCTCAGGCTTTGCTGTTTGGATTGCTCCAGGAGTGATGTTTCTACCGTTCCATTTACTTCTGATGTAGTGTATGATTTCTTTGTTGGTTTTGATGGGGAAATCCTGTTCACAAAGATTAATGACGTAGCTCCATTGAAATTGGGAACGGATTAGGTCTTCCATGCAGCTCAGGTCCGCCTGTAGTCTTACAAAGCCGGGATGAGCCCCCTTTTCTCTTTCTGATGCAATGAAAACATTTTCAAAACAGCTAACCAGGGTTTGCACGGCAGACTTACACTTCTTCGGGGCCCTTTCATCAATGTGAATACAGTAAACATTTTGAGGAACGTAAATAGCTCTGAGAAGCTGTACAAACATGGCCAGCTCCTCGTGAACAGTTACGATGTATGCCAGAGAGAAATTGCCCTCCTCTGCAGACAGGGGTCTGGAGATGAAGCGCAGCCCCTGGGAAATCTGGGAGCAGTTTCCCGGTGCATACAAGCGCTCAAGTATTTCCGATCCAAGGGGGTTTCTACAAAATTTTGCAACTTGTGAGGCTGCCCCTCTGCCTTCAAATAAAGCTGAACACAACTCATCTGGATAAAAGCCACACTCCACGACCGCTGGGGAGGGGGGCTCCGCTCCGGGCCCCTCCCGAGCTGGCTGCCTGAAGTAAAGGAGGGCGGAGACGCACACGACTGCGCACAGGAGCAGCCCCGGCCTGGCGGTGCACAGCCGGCTCATGCCGTGAGCTCCAGGCGCCCTCTCGTTACCATGGTGTGACGTTTTCTCTTCGAGCTTCCTGAAAGAACAACGGGTGGAGTTTAGGATGTTGTGAACCCCCAACTTCGTTGAAGCACTCACACTCCAAGTGTGTTATTCAGTCCCTTTTCTGCGTGTGTCCGCCCGGGAAACATCAGCAGTCATCACAGAAATGGGTGCACCCACCACCCTCCCTCTGGGCAGCCACGGACTCGCCGTGGGTCACTGTGGGTCCGTGGGCATGTCTGCCATTTTATACAAACGGACTCACACTGAGCACTCTCTGCCTGGCTCTTTTCACTCAGGATGATGAGTTTGAAACGCACCCAGGCCAGCGCACTCATCTCCACTTTCTTCCTTGCCGTTGTTGCGCAGGGCTCCACCATGGGGGCGCACGGGTCTGTCCCCCGGCACCTGCCGGTGCGCGCCGGCGTCGTTTCCAGCTGTGCTGTATGTACTGTGTGACGTGGCACTGCGAACGCCCGCCTTTGTGTCTGGGGCAGAGACTGGAGAGTGGGAGGGCCGGCCCAGCTCCCGGCGTCCCTTCAACTCCTACCAGACTGCCGGCCACAGCTTTCCCGGGGGGCTGGCCCCGCTTTGCATCCCCGCCAGCGGGGTGCGGGGCGGGAGGGGGGGCCTTGCTCTGTGAGCAGAGTTCTCGTCTCAGCACAGGTGTGTTGACTGCCCCAAGTGTGGAATGTTGTGGCACAATTTTAGAGACATTTTTATGAGTTAAATACTGCTTTTTATCATTTTGTCAGCACAGAATCATTTAATTAACACATTTCACATCTGGTCTCTAAAGTAAACAAGCCCTTTTATATCATAAAAACTTGTCACAAAAACGGAAGCTCGGTAGGTAGGAAGCACCTTTCTGAAATGACATGGAAGGAGGGACCGTGGGGAAGCTGCGCCCTGTACTGCCACCCGTCACATTTCTCTTGTCCCGGGGCTTTCGTGCAGGGAGCAGGTGTGGGAAGGTTTGGGGTGTGTTGTCTTGGTTTTCGTTTTCAAGCTCAGGGTCAGAGTAAAACATTCCGGTCCCATCACGGAAACATTCTCCCCGCTTCAGTGGCAGATCCCACCCATGTAACCCCTGGAGCCGGGGGTTTAGATGTTTTCGGTGGTTTTTAAGTATTGAGGACAGGTCTCCTGTGTGATCCACCGTCCCCCAGAGTAAACCCCGGCTACGTGCTCACCCTCCCTGATGCCGAGACTGGCTCGGGGGTGGGCGGAGCCTTCCCACCTCCGGTTCTGTTAGAGCCAGGCGCTCAGTGCCCCCGTGGCCCTCCCTCCAGCCCAGGGTCACCTCGACTCTTAGAAGCAGGGTGCCAGCTTTGTAAACAGAACCTAGGGCACCCCACCGCTGTGAAACGCGAATGTGTGGCCCAGTTCTTGCTGCCACAGAGTGTCTGGCGGGTAACGAGAGACACCGCAGAACCCCCTCTGTGGGCCGGTGGTTTTTCCTTTCTAAGGAGTGACAAGCGCCCTTTTCGGTTTTGCAGACGTTTCCCAGCCTTGGTTCTTGGTGATACTGTTGTTGTCTGTTTCTGTATTGGGAAGTCAGCCTTGTAGCCGTAGTGAAGGTGTGAGACGTGACTTGCTGTCACTCAATTCTTTTCCAAGAAATTTGTGTTATTTTCCAAGTATGAGGGGACTAGGCAGCTCATAGAGAAGCTCAGGCCTGCTGGTTTTTGAACTACGTTTTTCCTCCACAAAAGGCTGCAGTCACAATATACGTCTATGTTGAAGGCTTTGGAGAGAGTGACGGTCAGCCCCATGTCCCCTGAGCAGACATGCGGTCTCTGCTCAGACCAGACGCATGCCCAGCCTCCCAGGGTCCAGTCACAGATGGGTTCTGAGTCACTGCTGTGTGTGCGTGTGTGAGAGAGAGAGAGGGAGCGTTTCGGGGCTTTCCCCCTGTGCCATGGGCCCTTAAATTAAATTTCCCAGGCTGCAGTCTGCTCTGGTCCCACCTGGGCAGCCAAGTAAGGGGAGCGCCATGAAACCTACGCAGTGAGCGGCGCAGGTAGGCGGCTCCCGGGCAGGGAGTGAGGACGCTTCGAGGGCTGTGCCTTCACCTCACGCACGTCCAAGGGCTGCCAGAGTCCCTTCCAGTAGAAGTAGTCACCGGACTCACGGTTAAGGATGCTGTTTACATGTTTTCCCTTTTTGTAGTGCTAGAATTTCTGCAGTAACAGGATTAGTGCCCGATTATGGTTCCCCGAATGGAGTTGTTTTACATTTTATGGTTTTGTCCAGGCATAAAATGCTTTCAAGGAGTTGTTTCAAAACAGGTCACTGTCCTAATTAACTAGCGCCTGAAGGTGTGTTTGTCTTGTCTTTGTCTTCTGCGGCCTCCCCTGCCCTGCAGCGAAGCCCCAAGGGCCACTGGGCATGCCGCCGCCACTCCCCCGAGAGCAGCGGTCCAGTTTTGTTGTGGTAGGGCTTCCTCTGCTGTGGAGACGTTTCATGGGAGTCAGCAGCATCCCACAGAAACGAGTCCTTTGCACAGGTTTTTAAAAGGTAATGACCCCGCCCCGAGTAAATAGATAATGGGCATCTTTAAAGACAAACTTAAATATTATGCCGTGTTTTCTAGAGTACTACTGTTTGCACCATTCCAGTTCTTAGCTGAACTGGATCAAACAGCTGGGGCCATTTCCTGCTCTCCAGGTGGGGGTGCAGGGCCTTCCAGGGACACCAGGGTGGGGGCAGGAGTGGGGGGGGAGCCTCCCAGCGGGCCTGGCCGTGGGGCTGCCCAGCGCTGTGTGGGGTTGGGGGGCGAGGCACCGCCGGAGCAGGGTGGCTCCAGGCCAGGAACGCCAGCTGCTCTCTCCATATACTGTGTGTTCGTCCTAAAAAAAAAATAGGCCACTGTAGCAATGAAAGTTTTGTGTCTGTTATTTTTGTTGGGCGCTGGGCTCAGAATGCTGTCCAAAAGCACCCTGCAAGGTGACACGCTGTTGTCCTGAGCTGTTTGCGCTGTAATAAGAGAGCGTCCCGTTCAGGGAAAGAGCCGTCCCAGCCACAGCTGCTTGTTCCTGAAACGCGTCTGCGTTCTCTCAGCCCCTTCAGCATGCGGGGGGCCTTTCGGCTGTCTGCCCAGAACAACCAGGACCAAAACAGCATCGTTATTAGCACAAGTGCAAGCCAAGGACTGGGCGGGGCTTCAGGTGGACTTAGTCACTGTCTCCCACGTGCAGAGTGGACAGACAGTGGCATTTAAAATTGTGAATTCTGACTGATTTCATACTCGAAAATACTCCACTGCTGTTTCCTTTGGCTGAAACAAAAAATGAGGACTGTTTTTGAGAGAAAAAGATGCCTGCCTCACCTGCGCCTTGCAGTGTTACCGATACTCCAGTATTTCCAGTTTAGGGTCATAAAGGAGGTGGAGAAAAACAAGCCTCATTTTACTACTGATACCTGCCCGGGCTCTGCCACTCCCGGTCGCTGCAGGGGCAACAAGCACTTACCCAAAGATGCCCTTCAGGTCCCACGCGTGGAGTCCTGCCCACGGCCCGAGTGTTCTCCTCCCATCAGTTGCTCCTCTTGCTGTGGCTGCAGCCCGAGTCACATGAACAGTCTCTTGGCGGGTTTTGTTCCCTCTCGTCCCTGGAGGACTTCACTCTGCTTCATTCCGACGTGTAGATTGGAAGCGAGTTGCCGCTCTGGCTTCTCAGGGGAGTTCCTCAGGGCCGGGTGACTCACCAACAAACCCTCATGGCAGCAGAAGACGCCAGGCCCGGAGGGCCGGCCGCCGGGCGGTTCTCGTGCAGTGCAGTGTAGGCCGGGGGAGATCCCACTGCTGTGGGCCGGTGTCTGCAGGTGCTTCTGAAAATAGGAAGCCAGGTTTGGTGGTTTGACCCTTTTCCGTGAAAGGGGTAATTAAAGGTTATTTAAAATCTGGCTTGCTTCCTAAATAGCATCTGGCACAATCCAGGTGTGCCAATGTGTGCCCAGAGGGCGCGATCTCAGGGACACGCGTCAGCTCAGCCTGCCCCGACCTCCAGCTCCACTAGGATGCGTGCAGCCTGCCAGCGCACCTTGCGGGGTGGGGTCTGCTCACCAGTCACGGAGCCTCGCCTGTGTTGGTTGGCACCGCTGGGCATTGGTACTCAACATCCTTCCCTGTTCAGGCACGAAAGTTTCTCTCACCTGCTGGCATTCTCTTTGGGCTTCCAGCAGACCCGTCTGCGGGGGGGAGGCCGAGGGACGTGAACACCGCACCCTGGGGACTCGCCACCCTGTGTCTGGACGCCCCAGCTTGACACCGAGTCACATGAGTGCAGATTGGCTTCGCCTGCTTGTGGGTGACTCGGGACACCTGTTGCCGTGGAAATATTTGTCAGAGGGCAGAAAGAATCCAGGCTCTCCAAGCTTATGGGGTTGCAACTTTGCTGTGGGGGGTGACGTGTACACTTTTTGTGTAAAAACAGCTTCAAGCAGCCTTTCAGCGGGGAGCCCCTGGGGGAGTTTGTGTGCATCCCGTGAGTAGAGGGGTTCATTTGTCTGGCAGGGTCCAGGGAAGGACAGGTCCTTTCACATCGGAAAGGCTGCCCTGCCAGCTTGGGAAGCAGGAAGCAGCGGGCGCTGCGGGCCTGCCCCGGGGGTGGGGCCGGGTGCCGAGCTCCCCTGTTAGCTCACGTCCTGAACCCGGAAGGAGGAAGATGCTCTGAGCCAAACAGCGAGAGAAGGGGAAGCGGAGAACGAGGGCACTGCCTGCCCGCCACTGTCCACTTGCAGAGCCCCAACGGGGCTGTCGGGCTTCACGTATCGACCTGATCCAACTAAAAAGTTTACGTGAAAATCTTAACAAATGTGATGGACATGGGGCATATACATGTAATTTACAAAAGAGGCAGTAGGAGGGGGGCGGTGCTTCTTAAAAGACAAAAAGAGCTGTCTTTTGCCTTTTGGATTAGCATAAATTTTTTTCCTTTAAATTATATGGAGTGATGGGCCTTCTCCCAGATTGCAGGGATTGTAAAGTCCACATGACCTTTTAGGGAACCCTTTGGCTTTGAATTTTTGTTCCCTTGCATCCTGGTTTGAAATAGTATCTCTTTTTCGGCCACGTTCCCATTCGTTGAGCTAGGAATTGTTTGAGTGACCACAGAACACAGGACCCCCGGCTCACCACGGGCAGCCCTGAGGAAGATGAAAACACAGCCCCTTCCCCTGTCTTAAAGGTCAACACCCCTTCATTCATTTGAGCCACAGAGCCCTCCTCTGGGACCTGACGGGGCACCGTGACAGGAATGCCCACGCTGTGACAGAGGGACTCTGTGGTCAGGGGCGAGTGCCGTCATCTGGAGTCCCCGGTGCCGTCTGTGAGGACGCGGACGAGAGGCGCCCCCCATGTTTGTGTGAGCCGTTGTTCGCTCCTCACTTCCCTCCTGGCCTTTTTTCCTCCTCTTTTCCTAAAACAATTAACATCCAGAGGACAGGAGTACGCAGGTTCTAGTCTTCTAGTCTGCTTTTTAAAAAATGTATGATAAACATATTCTGTATTGTCAAAACTTCTAAAGCCACCATATAGTCCTCTGTCTTAGGAGTAGGTCACGACGTCGAAGTTACAAGTGGCAAACTGAGGCAGGGTTTGCCTAGAGTGTGGCTGTGCGGGGACAGCTTGCACAGAAAGGTGCCTTTGCGGGACACCTGCTGCTCCTTACTGTGCCCGAGTGTCGCTTTGATAAGCCGAGGCCAGGCCAGCCGCCCTGCAGCAGCCGAGCCCCTTTCCCCGTGACCTCTGCCCTTCGGCCTGGACCAAGGCTGTGCCAGCCCGTCTCCCTGCCCTCCAGGGTGGGCCGTCCCACCCTGACTCCGGGGGCGAGGCCATCGGGAGGGCCACGTGCCCTGTGTCCAGGTCCAGGCTGCCGGGGCCTCGAGGCGTGCGGCTGGTACCCATGGATCCTCAGAATCTGGAAGAGAAAGAGTGAGACATCTTGAGTTTTAGTGTGAGGGGCTTCTGCCGTTCTGTTGTCAGTGGCCGACTCGGCTTTCAAAACCCTGCTCTGGGCGCCGCAGTGTGCCCAGCAGGGTCCGTGCTCACATCTGGACAGCTGCACAGCCACCCCTAGAGGAAGGGGACTGCTGACCGCTGGCCCAAAGGACAGGGGCAGTGAGGACAGCTGGAAGGAGGCCACGGGAAGCCCGGAGCAGCCAGGGAGGGGCAGGGCCGGGCCGACAGAGCCGGTGGGCGCGGCGCAACCCCGTCCTGCTGTGGGCCCAAGAGGCTGGCCGAGGCCACCACCCCGCCCCAGGCCAGGTTTGCCACCTGACTGGTGCCTCTCCTGCGGTCTCCACGGAGAGTGCCCCTGGTGGCAGGCTCTGCCCAGTCTCCCGAAGCAGAGCCCCCCCGGGGAACCTCCTCTCGCAGAACAGGCTGCCCGTCCCTTTGGGTCCCTCGTGACGGCTGAACGCAGCTACTTCTCCAGAGGAGTCCTGCGGGAGCACTCTGTGGGCCCCCCTCCGCACAGTTCGCATGCCTTCTCTGGGGCCCTGACCTCAGGAGGTGAGGGTCCAAGGAAGATCTCTGCTGTCATGAGAATGTGGCCCACCCACCCAGAAAAGGAGCCGGCCCCAAAGGAATGGGTTTGGAGGCAGAATCGGTAACCCCGCTGAGGCAGCAGGCCCGAGGCCGGCCCAGCCCTCGGACAGCGGCCGGGACAGCGGCCGGGTTCCCAGGTGCCCGAGGGGCTGCAGCTGGGAGAGAGCAGTGGCCCAGTCTGGTGACCGCTCCTCTTTCTCCTGCTCTCTCCAGTGCGGGGCCGCCTTCGGGGAGGACGACATCATCGTGCTCAATGGCACCAAGGAGGATGTGGCAGCGCTAAAGGGCCGGATGGAGGAGAGGCGGCTGCGGGCCCGGCTGGGGAAGGTAAGGGCGCCCCGCGTGCATGCCTCCCGGGGCGGGGGTGGGGCGGGGGTGGGGCGGAAGCATCTGTACACACGCACTCGTTCCAGGTTGATTTTCTAAATGGCTGTGATTTCGTTACCATCGAGCAAAAAGACAAGGGGAAAGAAAAGCTTGAGATAGTTTTGACAAAGGACAGTTACCGAAAAGGATGTGCTTATTCTTCATTGGTCAAGCTCTGTTTTTAAAAAGCACTGAAGGGGGAAAGTGGTGTTTTAGCAGAAGCTTTTGGAGATGTCCGTGTGGGTGTTAATTAACCAGCCAGGGGGCCCTTGTGACTGGTGTCCTCTGCCCGCCCCAGGCTTCCTGCCGAGGTGTGGCCCCTGGGGAGCCCCGGGCCCCCGCCGCACAGCCCCAGGCGGAGCCCCGGGCCCGCGCTTAGATACTGCTGCCCGGGCGTCACAGCATCTCCCGTGCGTGTGCGCAGCTGGAGAAGGGCAGGGCCTGGCCTCCCCACTCCGTCCTGTGCCAGCTCTTCGAACAGCCTCTCCTGTGACCCAGGGCTCGGAGGGCATCTGCGGGTTTTCGGGACTGGGCATTGCCCTCAGATCTGAACATGATCTGTGTGTGTGGCATGAGCAGCAGTGTTTGTGTCTGATACAAGCATTGCAAATCACACTACGCACCTATCGTAAGTTCAAGGCTGCTGCCGGAGAAGGACCCTTTTCCCCGCCTCGACTGGAGATGGGGACCTTCTGAAATAATTCGCCTGTGTGTCTGTAGTGCCCTCTTCTGGCTGCGTAGGAAAATGGCATTGTTAAAGTAAATTCTCCGAGTGAACAAGTTCTGTGTATCCTTTCTGTGACTGAAGCAGTTCTAACAAGCTGTGTGGTTTTGGGGTGATTGGTTCCTTTTTGTTAGTCTTGCCGCCCGATATAACTATTAAGGGTGACACACTCCCACTGCCTGAAAGCCCAGCCAGAGTTTAGGAGAACGGCTGGGGTGCCGTTCAGCAGAAGCCCCAGAGCCTGGTGGGGAGACAGACAAACGTCCGGGCGGTTTGGCAGCTTCTCACAGCCTTGCAGGCGCGGGTGACGTGCAGGCCCATCCGTCCCCACGGGGCTTTCTGAGCCCGAGTGAGCCTTGTGTCATGTCCCTCTGACTGCTCCTTTGTGTGCTGTGCACCGTCAGCATCGACAGTGACCGCGGAGGTCTGTCCTCCTCATTGAACATTGAGAAGGTGATTTCTGGAACACGGAACTCACGCGGGTCTCTACAGAGGGACTCCTGTGTGGGGCGAGCACGTAACTGGAAACTCGGGGCCCTGGTTGGGGGCTGACGCCAGCACCCCTCCGACCGCCCTTTCTTCCCACAGAAAGCAAAGAAGCCCAAGGTGGCAGAGACGGTGTCCAAACCGGACGTCAGTGAAGGTAAGAGGTCGCTGCAGCGAAACCGGCTGTGGGGCCGTGTGCGAGGTCCGTGGTGCTGACTCTGCTCCTTCCACGGGCCCGCAGGGACGTCCGGAGAGAAGCCTGAAGAGCCCAGCCCCGACTCGCAGGACAAGAAGACCACCCCGGCTTCCAGGAGCGCAGGTGGGTCCCCCGGGGCCCGCAGGCAGCTGCGTTCCTAGACAGCTGGACACCCTGCTGGCCGTGCCAGTGTTGTGGGCGTGAGCTGGGGACCTTGGAATCCTGAGTCACGTCTCCATAGTGCGCGGAGCTCCCTGGGGACTAGAAACCAGTCACTGTGCCCTGCAGCAGGCCTGTCAGGGCCTGTGCGGTTCCCCGTCGAGCACACACTTGCGGCCGAGGCACCAGCTGCGGGCGGGGGAGTCGTCCAGCCCCCCGAGGCCAGGGTCCTGTGCGCACGGCACCTGGCCCTCGGGGCCTCCTGCTCCCCACCTGCCTCGGCCAAGTTCTCGGAGAGCCGTTCAGCATGCAGCTCAGAATTCAGTGCATCGCTCCCAAAACTCCCTGCCTTTAACTCCGAAAGTAGCATTTATTTTCACAGAGAGAAAGCAGGTGAGAGGGTGTGTGGTCTTGTGTTCTGAGCAGCATCCACAGTGGTTACGGGTTCCAGTCCCCACTCTGCATGCGGCAGCCGCCCGGCCGGGGGTGATCACTCAGCCCCCCTCGGAAAAACGGGCCGGCCAGACCCCCGCTGAGGAGGCTCCGGCGCCTGCCAGTCACAGGGCTGGGCCGGTGCGTGCTCACCCCTGCGGTTAGGTGGTGGGTGTGATTAAGTGATGGACTTAGCTGTCGTAACCTTGTCTTCTTCTGGGAGTCGGTGATGGAGAGATGGATCCCAGCCTTCCTCCCAGGAGGGGGAAACTCTCAGGAGGAGCAGACTGACTGGCTTTTCCCCTCTTGAGAAGCTCATATTTGGAGGGGTCTTTAGTCTCAACCCTGTTTGCTCTCACTTCCCCACAGCTAACGGGGGTCCTTCTGGAAAAGTCGGGAAGCCTCCTGGTGCGGCCACAAAGAGGTCCATCGCCGACAGCGAGGAGTCCGAAGCTTACAAGTCCATTTTCACGACCCACAGCTCCGCCAAGCGCTCCAAGGAGGAGTCGGCCCACTGGGTCACCCACACGTCCTACTGCTTCTGAAGCCCGGCCACGCCCCCACGCAGGCTCCTTGGGGCTCACAGAGGCAGGTGCTGGGGCCACCAGTGGGGTCAGGGCCTCTTCATGGGGTCCTCAGGTTGTCCCCCAGACCCTGGTGCCAGCGTGGTCACTCTCTGAGGAGCATGGTGGGTGGCTGGCAGGTTGACCTTGCTGGGCCACCACGCTGGCCCCTCTGCCCTCTCCCCCCACTTAGAGCTCCGTCCACGACCCAGAAGGCTGCGCTGGCTGCACGTCTGTGCTCAGTCATTAAAGGTCCCGGATGCCTTGTGGCTGTGTGGTTGGCTCATTTTGACTAACGTGCAGCGGTTTTGTTGCCAGCAGTTAATTAAGTAGGCGAGTGAGGCTGAACTTGAGATGACTGTGCCCGCAGGTCTGTTTGCAGGAGCGTCTGAGAGGCCGGGACTCAGGGTCAGGTACTTGGTGGGGGTGGGAGGGAAGGGACATAGTTTATCAGTTTGAAGACAGGAGGGATTGAGTTGAGCAACTTGATACAAAAATAAAGCCAGCCTGCCTTTTCTCTCGCCTCTGTTTTTGTTCGTCTATCTTCCACTCGTGTTTTGTAAGAAAATTGAGAGACGGAAGTAACTCCGTGACCTCACACACATTCCGCTTTTCCTCTCAGTAAAGGACACAAAAGGGGCTGGTACCTAAAATCATTGCATTTTACTCGTGATGTGTGTTGGTGTCGGTGGCTGCTCAACCTTCCTGCGGGGCTGCTGGGCGAGACCCGGGAGTCCCGGTGTCCCCAGGGCTCCCTGGAGGCGGGCGTCGAGGGAGATGCCTGGCCCGTTCTCTGCGGCAGCCCCAGGGCGCTGTCCCTACCCGGTGGGGCGCGGGTCAGAGGAGGGGGGTGCGCCCTGGGCTCCGCCCGAGGCCCCGGAGGGTTCCGGGGTCGGGGCGGAGAGGAGCCTGGCTCCCTCTGCCTCTGGGTTCTGTGCCTCACGTGATGGGAAGTTTGGCCCTGAGGATGTTTTGACATGAACACAGAAGCATTTTAATTAAAATTATATTAACATCAATGTGTTTGTTGAAGACTTTTCCAGAACAAGCCTGATGAACCATTTTCTTTCCCTGGTAAAGTTTTTATGCAGCCCAGTTAAACTGCTAACTAGCTGTAGCTTTTCCAGTTTGTTACATTATCATGGGAAGGTGCAGCCCGGCCCACCCCACAGGGGCCCCCACAAGGGCCCCCGCAGGGCTGTGTGGAGGACAGGCTGGGCCAGAGTCCCAGTTTCAGGGCTGAGCCCCTGAAGGTCACAGGCACGCCCTTCAGCCCAAAGCCAGGTGCCAGGCCACCTGCGGCCCAAACAGCAGTCCCGTCCCCCGGGGCCGGTGGGCTGACTTCACTGCCCAGGTGTCTGCTGCAGGAGGCCCCTCACCTCTCCAGACAGCTTGCTGTCCCCAGCAGGCGATGCTGTGCAGCCCAAAATAAGTCCCCACCCTCCCCTGCCATTTCAAAGGGTCTCTCCGGACCCTGTGGCCGCCCAGGGCTGCACGGAATGGGGAGGGGCCCTGTGGTCCCTTCATTATACTCAGGGAGCGTCTTAATCCTGGGGACTACCTCCGAGTCACATGACCTGGTGAACAAGGACAAGCCTCATGTTCCGTGAACTGGGACTTCTTGCTTCACGTCCTTGGGGGAAGCTGATGGTTTCAGACACTGGCCAGTGAGCCCCAGTTTCGCTCCGGCTGCGGCCTGGAGGTGGGTCTTTCCTCTGGGTCCTGGCGCGTGCCCGGGTGTCGTCTGGCCAGACTGTCCTTCCAGCTCAACCACAGCGCCACCTTCAGGGAAGCCTTCCTGCGTAACCCGACCCCTGCTCTTGAGGCCCGCTGCGGTAACCCCAACGTTAATGAAGTCCACCCTTAATTAACCCAGGCTTGCACATTCAGGTAAAATCGACGAGTGGGAGGTGGTAGGGAACGGTGGGGACTGTGGCGCGCACATGACCACCTAGACGGGCGGTTCCGATTGGGACCACTGTTTTCAGAGCTTTCATATTTTCAAAAGGAGCCAGAAATCTAGGTTTTTTCGGTTAAAATACCCCAACATTTAAACATAAGTTAATAGTTTTAGAAACGATGTAAGCCAAACAGTGCACACCCACGGCTCCCCACATGTGGCCTGCGGTTTAATATCTTTCTCACTGGGCTGTGCTCCACAGGGGCACACGCCATGCACTCAGCACCACGTCCCTCGTCCGGGTTCAGCAGACTCGAGACCAGCGCAGGCCTCGGCCCACGGCCCCGGGGTCAGGAAGCCTTGTGAGGAGACGGCACCCGTTGTCCCAGCCTCTCTTTTATTGCCTCTGCCAATGTCCCCTCCTCCCAGGCCCCTGTGGGCCTGTCACCCTCCGCCCGCCCCCATCACAGTGGCCTCTGTGACATCACGCGGGGCCCAGCCCCAGGCACCCGGTCTCCCGGTGCCAGGGCGGACAGACCCACCATGAGCAGCCTCCTTCCCCACCTCTGCTCGCCATGCGGACGCTGACATGGTTCTTGTTCTTGCCTCTGTGCCTGTCCTGCGGCTGTGCCTTTATGTTTTCTTCCGTGAGGGGGAACATCAAAGAGCCCCAGGGCCAGGCGCCCTGCGGGGGGCACTTCCGGACCAGGCAGGGGCTCCCGGAGCACGCCCCGGGCTGGCTCACCAGCAAGTGGCCCTGGCTCCTGTTCGTGGGGGCGCTGTACGCGGTTCTCAAGTTTCGGGGAGGACACGGTGAGAAGAGTAAGGTGAGTGTGGGGGCAGGAGGGGGACGAGGGACAAACATCCGTGTGTGAGAGAAACGTCAGTCGGTGGCCTCTTCAGCGCCCCCAACCCGCTGAACCTGCAACCCAGGCAGGTGCCCTGACCAACCGGGAGTCGAACCAGTGAATTTTCGGGTTGCGGAACAATGCCCAACCCGCTGATGGGCAAGATGGAGTCATTCTCTGTCCACATGGACTCTGTCTCAGAAATCTCAGAGTCGGAGAAACGGACATGCCACTGGTTACAGCAGCACCGTTAAAGGACGAATTGGGACGCCGAGTCCCTGCCCAGTGGCCCTGCTAAACGCTGGCAGACTCCTCTCCTGACACAGCCTTCGGGAAAACTAGTCCCCAGACCCAGCTGGGTTGGGGCTGACCGTGGAAGGCCACCTTCTGTGATCGGTGTAGGAAACCTTGGCTTAGTATTATAGCCTGGTAGGTGAGTTTTTGCAAATGGAGGATACATGGAAGAACTTGGCATGTTTCAGGTCGAAATTATTCTCAGATGATTTTTAATTTCCCTAGCGTTTGACTTACTACCGGTCGCTGAACTGAGTGGAGATGATATCATTACCCCAAGGGAAGGTAGAGACCTGTTGGGAGGGGAGGGGGCGAAAGGTAACCGCTCCTCCCGCAGGGCTAACTCTAGAAGGAGAGAGAGACAGGAACCTGGCAGCTTACTCTCTGCCACGCGGATCCCAGAGCCTGTCCAGACTGGCTGGGGCAGGGTTGGCCCTCGTAGAAGGTATTTTCAGCTTTGCAATGACTCACCTCCGCCATTTCAGTCTGAAAGCAGCCCCAGACAGTATGCAAGTGAGTGATCGTGGCTGTGGGCTGGGTTCCAATAAAACTTTATTGACAAAAGCAGACAGCGGGCCAGCCCCTGGGCGAGAGCCATGCTAGAACCGCCTTCTCTCAGGTGACCCCTCCTGTGTTGGAACTGGGTCAAAACCCAAAGCCAATGGCATTCTTCACCCCGAGTGTCTTTCTTAGCAGGAAAAGAATCCTCCAGGCCTTCGAGGCTGTTTGGGGCGAGCTCCACTAAAGAAAAACCAGAGCGCCTCCCCCAGCAAAGACTTCACGATCACCACCTTACACCAGCTCGAAATGGAACTCGTGAGATTCCTGTCCAGAATACGGCACCTGAAGGACGCGGCGGCCAACGGCAATAACCTCAAGCTCCCGATCTTCGAGGTGCCTTCCGACCCGCAAAATAAAGTTACGATATATGAGATATGGGGCGAAGAGGAATGCGAATGAAAGGATTTGTGTATCGAAGTAGGACAGAAAAAGTTGAGTGTTGACAAATGATATGCAAACCAATAAACCTATTCTGAAGAAAAATCTCAAATTTGAGATTTTTTCCCCCTGTTGTTAACCTTGAAAAAATAAATGTGAAACCGGCCACCACAGCCATTCATCTTGTGTCTGTGGCCTTCCTCACTCCCCGGAGAGCTGTGGGTGACGAGGAGCGTGTCTCAGACACAGCTGCCTGCGTGAGCTGCCCAGTCAAGAGGCCAGGGCCCCTGTGGGACCGGGTGCAGGAAATTTGGAGTAAGTCGTTAGCATCATTTTCATACTCGATATCTTTATATTATTAACTGTTTGTGCCCAACAGATGGCACTGATTATCTTTATGGTTTATTACCTTATAAAGGACTTTAATTACAGCTTTAAAAATGATAAAATGATTACATTAGGAGGGCTATGGATATATGCAGGGGGAGGGGGGAGAAGGATTCTAGAATCACTTGATTTTCTCACCAGCAGAAAAGTCTCCCTTATTTCACCTCGTTACGTATGGACTTTTTCCTACCAGCCAGTGGTTATGTATGTGTAATTGGATTAGGGAAAATGGAGAATCAATTCCTATTTTCAGTGTAATCTGGGGACAGGTGAACTAACCAGGGTCTCCTCCATCTGTTGATATCAGTGTTCTTTATAATGCTGGTTAACAATATGGACTTTGGGCACGTTAATATGGACCCAGGGAAACTATCTCCCCTTATGGCTGTTCGGTTGGCTTCCTGACCCCAAGCGTGGGCCGCCCTGAGAGTTTCACAGCCGGGCTGGCCGGGCCTGGAGAGAGAGGTCAGCCGTGGGAGGGGCCCGTGGAAGTTCCCCTGCTTCCACTGTGGTCCACGTTAACACGTGCCCGCCTGACTCTCCGCTGCCTTCCCTCCCAACTACGAAATTTACTTCCCATTGGCCGAGTGGGAATTAAAATGCCTTCCTTGCCTGCCTCTTCCCCTCTGGTCAACATTACTCTCATCTCGGGTCACAGTTCTGTGTCTTAATGTCAACTTGCAGGACAGAAGGGGCTGGGATTACTTCTGGGCTGTTTCAGAGCAAACAGGATTCTCTGTGAGGTGTGTGCACTGAACACTCTGGAGAAACTCAGAGGAGCAGGAAATACTTGGGGTTGAACCTGTGAGATCAACTTGGGGCACATTCCCGACAAGAATGAAGGCAACCGTCCAAAAAGCCAGTGGTCACCATGCCATGGGCCCTGGGCCCGATCCAACCCGCTGGCTGCTTCTGTAGGGCCCAGGGGCCAGTGATGGTTTTCTTACTGATAAATGGTTGGGGAAAAAAATCAATCATCATTCATGGCATGACATTCAAATTGGAGTTCATAAATATCGGCTGGCACTCAGCCACCCTTCACTCACATCTGTCTGTGGCTGCTTTTGTGCTCAGGGGCAGAGCCGGATGATGGCCCAGAAATCGTATAACCCATATGGGAAACTATTTTCCAACCCCCTGTACAGGAAACGCTTCGGGACCCCCTCGCTTATGCTGAACTCAAGTACCATGCGAGCAACCAGGGCAGGCTTTCGGCTGGGATCTTTACAAACGCCCAGTATTTGTCAAGCAGGAAAAAATAAATGTGACCTCGTAAATCCTAACTTTTGTGGTTCTGGGCAGGCCACTAGCATTGAAAGGCGGGGGGTAGGGGGGATCCTCAGAAAGAACTGAACCCCACAGTTCTGCAGAGCAAAGCTGACCGAGGATCTGGGTTAGAACGAAACCTGCTGTGTGTTTTGGTGTAGCAACTCCCACCAAAGAGTGTCCCTAGGACTTTGCCCAGCAAAGGTCTGCAGAGCACAGTTCTGCCTAGAAAACCAAGCTTCCTCAACCCGGTCAACATCATGCAAAGTGTTCTGCAAAAATGCAGGAGAGGTCGATTTCAGCGCTGGAGCTCAAGGCAGCTCCTCCCTCCTACTGCCAATTTGAATTCTCCTGCCTCCACACTGTGTGGTTCCCCCTGGGTCCCCACGGCTGCCTGCCCTGACGGGTTCACCCAGCAAGTTCTGCCCCAGCGGTGGGTGGAATCCTTTCCCTCACGGCTGGGGGAGTCATTGCAGTTCTCCGCCTCCAAAGCCAGCAAGGAGGTAAAGACTCTAGAGCGAGTTGTTCACAGAGCCAAGCCTTACATAGTGTGAGCAAAACACTACGTGACAGCTGTCACCTGCACCAAGGTCTACAGCTTAGAAACAAGTCACTCCAGAGGAGGGGATCACACCAGGTTGTGCACGTGGGGTGGGAACGCAAGGCAAAGACGGAGGGGATGGGGGACGTTCCGGAAGACCGTGGAGGACGGTGACAGACGGTGACACATACCTGGCTGAGGGTGGTAGGCAAAGTTCTAAGATGACCCCCAGGGGCACACACCTCGTCTAATCCCTCCCATGAGTGGGGGCAGCAGCTGTGACTGGGATGGAACTGTCTCGGGGGTGACTGCATGGTGTCAGATGAGGCTCTGTTGGCACCAAGACCACCCTTCAGTGGCCCCTTCGGTGACCCATCCTGTGAGACAGTGGGTCCCCTGGGAAGGGTCCCAAGTTAACAGCTAGGAAAACATGAGGCACCCAGCCCCACTTGGGGCCACAAAGGGGCTGCAGTGAGAGAGGATCTGGTCCCCACTGACACTCGGATTTCCGCCTGGGGAGACCCAGAGCAGAGGTGCCCCGCCCAGATGCAGGCCCCTGGCCCACGGAACCGTGAGATAATAAATGGGTGTTGTCTTAAGCCACTGAGTTGGTGGTGCTTTGTTACCCAGCATTAGAGAATCAACAGAGCACGCGGACACCCAAACACAAACTTTCCACCTGCTGGTTCGATGCCTGGGGTGCCATGGGCACCTTCCCTCTGACCTTGGCCCTGGCCGCTGAACCAGGGAAGTGGGACCAAAGGCATATGCAATGTCCCCGGTCCCCACAACCAGAGGTCACAAACTATTGGCTCCGTGACCTCACCTCCCTCCCACCCCCTGCTTGTTTGGCCCACGGTCATTTTTTTCTAACTTATTATTTTGAATTACAGTCACGCAAGGTTGCGACTGTAGTACATGTTTCGCTTCCCATGGTTTTAGATGGTCAATGGCCATCTAAAAATGTTCACTAGAAAATTAAGAATTCACAAGGTTTCAGCCGCGGGCTGTTCTGAGCCGCTGGGATGAAATCTCGCGATGTCCGTCCTGTGTCTGGGTCCTCCGAGCTGCGGACGCTCCAGCGCGTTAGTCACGTGGCAACCGCCTGGGCGTGAGGTCAAGTGTGGGGTGACGGAGGTGTCCGTGTGCGCCTCACCGTGGCTGCACTTGCTAATGCCCCCGGAGCACAGGGGAGGCGACGCCGGCAGTGCCAGTGCGCCCCGGAGGGGCCGGAAAGTGCTGCTGTGAGTGGAAGGGTGGGGCGTCTCGCTCTGGAAGGAAGAATCATCCACACTGAGGTTGCTGAGACCTACGGGCAGGAGGACTCCTGTCTGCGAAGTGGCGGGGAAGGAGAAAGACTTTCCCTGGTTTTGCTGCCGCGTCGCAACTCCGGACACCTCTAGTCATGTGGGCATCTCTTCATCTCAGCAAGAAAAAGGGAGAAGACAGGACAATAAGATAGAACGTTCAGATAACTTTTGTTACAGTGTGTTGTTGCAATTGTTCTGTTTTCTTATTAGTTACCGTTAGTCTCTGGCTGTGCCTGCTTCATAAATTAAACTTTATTATAGGTATGCACATATAGGAAAAAAACAGTATATACAAGGTTCGGTACTATCCGCGGTTTCAAACATCCACTGGGGGTCTTGGGTCGGATTGCCCACGGATTAGGGGCTGCTACACACAGAACCTCCTTGTACCCTTGACACCCATTTCCCCGGGGGGCCACGTCTTATTTAAGTACAGCACAGTCCCCACGCCACTGGAACAGTGTGTGGGAAGGGCTCTACCCCCTTCATCCCAGTGTGAATTCCTGTAACGACACCACAGCCGAGATGCAGGACTGTTATTCCAGTGCCCCAGAGACCTCCACCCCGCTGCCCCTTACAATCCCCCCAACTCCTCTCCCACCTCCCTACCACCCCCAGTTCCCCAACCCCCAGCTGCCTGCCACTCATCTGCTCCCCATCGCTGTGATTTTGTTGTTTTGAGGATGTCATGTGGATGTAATTTGACAGTGAGTGACATAAAAGAGATTGGCTTGTTTCACTCAAATGACAAACACCTGAGAGCCACCCGCCCAGCCCAGCACACCTGTCTTTGGCGGAGTGCGTGTAATCAGCCACCTACTGAGCGGTGTCTTGCTCATTGTCAGGTTTCAGCTGTTGCCGAGAAAGGTGTAACAAAGACCCGTGCCCGGGTTCCGTGTGGTCATCCATGTTTACTTCTCTTGGGTGGACGCCCAGGGAGGGGCTCAGTTGCTGGGTCATGTGCAAAGAATATGATTTGGCCACTGGTAACTTTTTTCAAATTTTGGGTTAGTGGCCGACATTTCCTCGTGAGATTTCACATTCTATTCCAGTGAGGGAGACGGTAAACCAACGAGTTTCCATCACATGCAGATAAACATGACGTGAGACACAGTGGCCCTGGGCTTCAGCCCCGGAGCTTTCCCCCGCCTGTGGGGTGGCACCCAGCCTCCCCCTGGCCCAGCAGCCCCGGGGGTTCCCACCCCTCCTGGCTCTTGGTCCGGCCTGCTCCCAGCCACCCAGGCCAAGCCCGGGTCTGCCTCTGGGCCTTTTCCCTCCATCCCCGGCTAAGTTTTCCCTCCAGATGCCACCCTGCTGGGTGCCCTGTGTCCCTTCGGTCTTCACTCAGAGGTCACCTCCTCACAGAAGCCTTCGCTGACCACCCTCCCCAGCCACTGGCGTTTTTTCTTTTAACTGATTTGAGAGACACATCGATTTGTTCCGTTTAATGGTGCATTCATTGATTGATTCTCACATGTGCTCTGACCGGGGATCCAACCCACAACCCTGGCACATCGTGAGGACACTGTAACCAACTGGGCGACCCAGCCGTGGCCGGATGTGAAAAGAGACTTTTGAAGTGTGGAGAGATGGCTGGACTCTGCCTGGGACAGCCCCAAATGTGCAGTGTGCCTTGCAGTTACTGAGAATGGCCA